GGTTGCTTCTGCCCTGTCCGTGGATCCGCACACAGTCAGAACCGGTTGCGGCAAGTCGGTCAGGCAAGGCAGCAGATACGTAAGCACACACTGTGCATACCTCGTACCTAAGCGAAGAGGCGGAAAGGGGAGCAAAGCAAAGCAAATGTTCGAGCAACTTCGATATGGCGGATCGTCTGTGAATCAATGCCGGTTGTCGAGGCAGAAGAAGTAGAACGAGCTGAAAAGTGCAGGGCCGAGCGACGGAGGAAAACAGGGACAAGGGGCACAAAAGTAACTGATCTGCCACTGTTGTCTGCAGGTGTCCCTGATGACAGGCTAGCGGCACAACGTGGCGGCCATGAGCAGCTGCATGCAGCCATCGTCTTGGAAAATGATAGATGCGGGCGAGGATACCTGCACACACGTGCTCACGATAAGAGCAGCCACTCCATCAAATTGCAAGCTGTGTCTATTTCACGATAGAGGTGTACAGATACTGTAATAGGGCTGGACTATTGAGTGCGTGAGACCCCATGTTGCTGAACACACGCCCCAGCTTCGATCAGATGGGATCAACGACAAGCTTGACAGATGCTACGGGGTTCTGCAAACAACCTATTCTGATCTATGAACTGTAGGTATATGTATGAATAAGAATCGCTAATAGAGTATCCATGGGCCGAGTCATGACGGGTCATCTGGTCAAACGAAGTGTAAATATTTATCGGCAGCTCGTGCTGAATACATGAACTACCATCCTCATCAGACTTTCTCGACATCAGAATAGCCACAGCAGGACACATCGTTGAGTGCCACATTTACTCTCTCTAAAACCCAAAGTAGTCTATATCAAAACAACAACAGGCTCGTACACCCAGGGAGACAATGCTCGGTAATTACCCAGTGAGAGATAGGATACCCTCCATTGATGCCTACCTTACCTACCTATTAGTTGGCAATTGCTACTGTACCTAAACCGCAGAGAATATCCGAAAGCCGGATAACCAAAGCGAGATGAAACAGCTGACGATACTATTTAGTGCCATGATTGACGCCCATATCCAAAACAGCACCCCAGCACCTCTTCGCCTTAACAGAGCAGTCATTCCGGCGTTCGAACCATATGATAAATGCTCAAGGAACGCCTTCAAAGGGAGATGAGAAAAGTAATACTAGTATAAACCCAAGAAAAGGAAGGAAAAGGCAGATTCCCGTGTTATACCCTGCCACCAAAGAGTGCCCCTGCGCCCAAAATATGTCCTATACACTACTGCAAAAAGGTAGTTTCGCTTAAAACCAAAATCAATGCGGCGTGTCCGCTTCAGCACCATTCGCCAGGCTGCCATACACCCCTTTTCACACCCTGAAGCCTGTGAGCCGAGCTCATCGCAATTCAACCGAAGGAAAGTACCGTGGTCCGGCGAACCCTCGAGTGATGACCGACTGGACGTCGATGTTGCTCCCCGGGTCGTGGGATGAGCTCCACATCTTGAGCAGGATGAAGCGGCCGGAAACCGGTGGATCGAACTTGATGGTGCACTTGCTCTTCTTCTTTTCAATGTAGAACCGTGCGTGAGGAGCGAGCAGCCGGCCGCCGACCGCACGAACGGCTTCCTGCGTGGCGTTGGCGTGTGCATCCATTGCCTCAGACAGCGAGAAGCTGGGCGTGTGCTCATCGTCTCCGTCTCTCTGCCTGTGGATGATATTGTGACGGCGGCTGTGGTGCAGGAGGAGGTCGTCTGAGGTGTCCTGGGGACTAAAAGGCATCACAATGTCGTCTGCGTCCGAGTCAATGTTTTCAAAGGGGAGGGAGCCGATGCGGTTGGGCGTGCGGTGAAATCGTGTCCCGTCATAGCCGTCGTCATCGTCGTCCTCCTCGTCGCTGCACTCCGTGGTCACGCGGAAATCCGACATTTCTCTATTAAACTCCTCGGGCATCTCAGGCAGTCGGCTCTCATCGTCATCCGGTCGATACACATAGGATCTCCTAGTCCTGGTGCTCGTGGTGCCATCTACGTGATGCTGAATGGATACTATATGCCGAGGTTCCCGTTCGAGGACCAGTGCATTGTCTCCGTCTGCAGTTCGTGACCGCTGTCTCGATGACGGGGCATACTGGATTTGATATTGAGCGGTCCGGCTTAGCATGTCGTCCTGGTGCATGGTGACGAAGATCATGCCCTCTCGAACGCTGCGACCTGTGTTAGCGCAACGTTGAATGAAGGATGGAGAGGGTAAAGCCAGACGATGGGTTGAACGTACGGATGGGAAAAGTTGGTGGCGCAAGGTGCCTTGATAACGAGCTCCTGCAGCGTAAACACACTCCCGCCCTGGTGTTGCAGCACAATGTTGCATCTGTTCCCCTTGGTGCAATAGACGGAATTGTCATCCTTGAGAATGTTCTCTGCCGCGTAGGAGGACTGGTTGGAGAACATGCCGCCGTCGCAGCTCACAATCTCCATCCGCAGCTGGCCCGGCTCCACCTGCCCATATCTGCCGTAGCGGAAGGGCTTGATACCACTGGAGCCGAGGCGATCGGCATCCAGCTTCCGCCGCTTGCTCCGGCGGTTGTCCTCTGGGAAATCGTGGGAGCGGAGGGGCTGAGGAATGGTGGTGAGGGCGGATTGGGTCAGGTCCAGCAGCGCCCTCAGGTTGGTGTTTGCCTCATCGAGAGATCGATCCAGATCGTCAATGTTGGAGCCTCGGTCGTCGGCGGCGGCATGAGTGTGCGTGCGAGGAAAGCGCCGCGTGGACCAGCGGCCACCGTAGTCCAGATATCGCTCGCCGTCGCCGCGTGACGCCAGGCGATCGTCGAGGTTTCGGATCCGCTCGGCTCTGCGGGCAGCGGCCGTGGTAGACCATTGAAAGCGCGGTGGTGAACGGGGAGCGGCAGCGTCGCGGCCTCGGGGGGAGTTGAGGGTGCGCAGCGGGGGCAGCGTCGACGGCGGAGACAGCGGAGGGAAGTCGGGCATGGCCTCTCGCTGCCGCTGGTGCGGATTCGATCCCGAGCCCGACCACGACGACATGGCTGACAGTTGGCTGAGTCGTGCTTCGTACTCGGACCCCAGCAATGACGCCGCCGTCGATGAGACAGCGCTGGGATAGTATTGAGCAGTTGCAAAGATTCGAGAAATGCTCCCGCTCGGCGACGAGGACGGTTAAATGCTCAAGCAGGGGCGTCGCGGTAGATACAGTGCCGTCGACGATGGAGCTGCCAGGGTTGCTTGCCGTCGAGGTGGCGGCAGTCGCAATAGCACTGGGCAGGGCAAAGTTGGGACGTCAGTTGGGCGATGCTCAAGTGACCAGTGGACCGGGACTCCATAAATACCTTCTGTTAGAGTATGTTGGGCATTCGATGCGGCAGATGCTATCAGCCACCAAGGCTAAAGTGGTGAGGGCACCTATCTCATAGGTTGGTGGACCAGTAAAGAGTAAGATGCGCGAGAGGGAACTGTGATCTTGTCAGGAACCGTTAGGTGGCGGATATCTTAGTTGCTTAGGCAGAGCGTGTGGTGAGAGCAGCAGCAGAGGAAGTAGACGGTAAGGTAAGCCGAGGCAACAAAGAGAGGAAGAAGGGCTGGTTCTGCTTCAGTGGCCACCGGCAGGCGGTCTTGACTCATGTGAGGGGAATCACGGCCTTGATCAGCTCATCGTCTCCAGCTTCTGTCTCTTCCTTGGTGAGGTCTCTGCCTGTCGCGCTTGCAGGCAAGGCAGCACGGCTAATGGCCGGCCTCCGCTGCTCACGCGCACTCATTCGCTCGGGCACTCACTGGAAGATGAAGCCCACGGCTGTCTGGCGGAAGCAGAAGCAGAAGCAGAAGCAGAAGCAGGCTCGAGCGGAGATGGAAGTAGAGGCGGGAGAAGATGAAGATGAAGCAGCAGAAGTCAAGTTGGTTCTCGGTGGCTCGGGCTGGGATCGAATGACGGAGTGAGACGTGCGGTTGAAGAGAGTTGAGCATGGTTGGGGACAAGGAGCCCGTCCAATATGTCGCCGGCTTGAGGGAGCTGACAGTAGGTACAGTATGTACAGTGCACGCGGGGTCGCTTGGTGCACTTTAGTGGGCAGCATGCGCTAATCCCGGCACTAACCCGCTGTTTCTCTGCCTTGGCCGCTGAGGAGCAGCAGAACTTGGCGATGATGCATCTGGGTGGTACCTTGGTAGCGCAGTGCAGTAGCATCGTCGGCATCAGAGGAACAGCAGTTCGAATCATCGGTGCAAGAGGAAGATGCAAGACGGCTTGATTTGTCCAATGAGTCTTTTGCGTCGTCACGATGGGGCCGTTGGACTTGGAGGGATATGGCATCTCGAGTCGATGGCTGCATCATATCCCCTCAGCTGGTGGATCGATGCGGAGAGAAGTCCTCATGTCTGATACTTATAGGCTTGGTACAGTATAAGACGGTTCAGTCACATCAAATCCAAGGCTTCGATGTGAATATATGAATCAACAGTAAGCGAATATAATATATATGCTCTGTGAGTTACCGGTCCATCTCAGCAGATGCCAGCTGCGTACGCTGATGCAGATGCTTCTTGTAAGTTATGAGGACTGCGGGTGTTGTCCTAGACCCACCGCTAACAGCTACTGGGTACCTCGAATCCCAGCACAGACACACCCACGCAACTGTACCCCTCCAGCAGCACCCTTAGCCCATGCCTAGCGCCAGTTCTCCAGCGCATCACCGCTGCACGGCTGCACGCAAGGCTACGGGCATCCGATCCGCTTTGATATTCTCTCTTCTGCACCTCTCCGAGTCAACGGGACAGCTGCATCCCTTATTTCTTGACACTGGCTGTGTGAATGCGTGTCTTTGACCTGCTGCCGGCACCAGATTAAAGCTGCTGGGATCCAGAATTACCCGCCCAATTCCATCCAAAACGAGTTACTTTCATCTTCAACTCGTTCACTCGAGCGCAGCCTTGCCGCATCTCAACACTCCATCCTCACTCATCACGATCCCCCCCCACGGTCCGCTCACCCTCGCAGCTCATCGAGTCTCGAGCAATCTCATCACAATGGACCAGCAACCCAGCAATGGCACCAGAGACGCCGCCGCAGCATCCATATCCGACGCCAACGGCGGCGTTCCTGGCCTGAACCCCGATCTCGCCGTGCCGACTTCCATGCCAGCCATGATGATGCCCGGCCAAGGCTTCATCCCAGACCAATCTCTCGCCACCACAGCCGCCATCCCAGACGCCTCAGCCACGGCTCCTCTCATGTTCAGCAACGGCAACGGCGTCCTTGCCAACAAGGCCATCACAGCAGGTAAAACACAAACCCATCTCATCCTCTCATCCCTCCTAGCTCCACGCTTTTCAGACAGCTCACAACTCTCTCTCTCCCCTCTTTTCGCAGATGAAATCGCCCTCTATGACCGTCAAATCCGCCTCTGGGGCATGGCCGCCCAGGCCAAGATCCAAAACGCCAACATCCTGCTCATCACCATCCGCGCCCTCGCCAACGAAATCGCCAAGAACCTCGTCCTCGCAGGCATCGGCTCCCTCACCGTCCTCGACAGCGCCGCCGTCACCGAGGCGGACCTGGGCGCGCAGTTCCTCCTCTCCGAGGTCGACAGCCCCGTCGGCATGAACCGCGCCGAGGCCGCCAGCGCCGCCCTGCGCAAGCTCAACCCGCGCGTCCGGGTGCACGTCGACGCCGAGGGCGTCAAGGCCAAGGGCCCCAGCTACTTTGGCGCCTTCGACGTCGTCATCGCCACGGACCTCGACCCGGACTCGTTCAACCTCATCAACACGGCCACCCGCCTCAACGGCAAGGCCTTCTACGCCGCGGGCACGCACGGCATGTACGGCTTCATCTTCAGCGACCTCATCGAGCACGACTACGTCATCGAGCGCGACCTCGGCAACGTCGCCACCCAGCCGCGCCAGGAAACCCGCACGCGCTCCATCGTCAACGTCCAGACCAACAAGGAGGGCGCCAAGACGGTCGAGTCCGTCACCAAGCGCGAGCTCTACTCCACCTGGTTCCTCGCCAGCGACGTCGCCGGCCTGCCCGACGAGTACAGCAAATCCAGGCGCCGCCTGCGCAGCGTCACCCCGGCGCTCTCGTGCCTGCGCGCCCTGTGGGAGTTCATGCAGATCCAGGGCGGCCGCCTGCCGGGGACGCGCGAGGACCTCAAGCTCTTCACGCAGATCGCCACGCAAAAGCACAAGGCCCTCAACCTCCCCAGCGAGACCCTGAGGCCCGAGTTCCTGCGCAGCTTCCTGCAGAACCTCGGCAGCGAGATTGCGCCCGTCACGGCCATCCTGGGCGGCCAGCTGGCGCAGGACGTCATCAACGTGCTCGGCCAGAAGCAGCAGCCCATCCAAAACATGGTCATCTTCGACGGCACCACCATGGAGGCCCCCATGTACCCCCTCCATCCCGAGGGCACCCTCGGCGCCAATCTCCTCTCCAGCGGCGGTGCTGGCGGCGCCATCGTCGACCCCCTGACTGCTGCTCCTCCTCCCCCTAATGGCGGCAGCGCCATGGTGATGCCGCCCGAGATGGGCTTCGATGCCTCCTCCTCCTCCTCCGGCTTGCTCGTCCCGCCGACGCTGGATCCCGCTGCCGCCGCCGCCGCTCTTGCCCAGACGCAGGGCATGTCCATGGGCGTAGACTTGACGGCTCCCGCGACGAGCGCCGACATGATGGCCTCCGTTGCAGCCGCCCAGCCGCCGCCTCCTCCTCCTCCCAACGCCAGCAGCAGCAGCGCCCAGGTACCATTCGCGCCGACAACCGGGACAGAATCCGTACCTACTACTTCAGTTCCGGAAACGCAGGCACAAGTAAGCTCAGCCGACAACCCAACAACGAGCGCACCGCCTCCGAACGACCCAATGAGCGCACAATGAGTTTAAGTTGCTCCATTGAGTTTTCTCAGACGGCCCCTGTCAGCGGGAGAGCGAACTTCGTAGACTAGATGGCGGGAATGGAACGAGATATATGACACTTGAAGATGGAGGATATGATACAATACATTGGATGGGGACGAAAAAACATTCAGGATGAATATAGCGGGCAATACTTATCATGCATGTACCAAGGACGCAGACAAAAGGATAGGGGCATTGTACGTTCGAGTAGCTCAGGATTGTACGTTTTAAGTAACAGGCAGGATACGTTCATAGCTAGTAAGCAATGTATGCAAACATCACACAAGACACATCATCGCAAGCAAGGTCATCACTTCACCTTCACTCGAGGCGATTATAAGTAAAGAGACAACGACTTTATTCACATCGTGTCAAAGTACCGAATATCCCTTAGACGAAAGAAGGAGGAAACAAAGGCAAACCTCAGAATCCGTCCCTCAGCGGGAGAGGTTCATTCGCAATCGGATGCAGATAGTAAACTTCAGAAGAGGAGAAGAGAAAATCACAAAAATCAAACCAAACACCTCCTTCCTTCTATCACAGCCATCATCGTGGCATCTAAGCATCAAGTTCCCTCCAGTTTTTGGTATCCTTCCCTTCCCTGTGCGACCAGCAGAAAAATAAAAGGAAAAATAAAAGGTAGAAGACAATAAAAGACAAAATAGCAACTAAAAATGCGAGACCCCTATATTGGTACAACAGAACAGCAGAGAAAGATAACCTTGCGTAGCGCCGCATTGGTGACATCTCGTGGACGCCCAGAGCACTGTGCCGCAATGGTATCGCGATATATTGTAGGTACAGCAACTTGGCTGTCACCTTACGGGTCTTGAGGGGTTATGATGCGCCCTCCGCTGGGGGCTGAGGCTGGGCCTGAATGGAAGCCAGAGCAGCCCCCTTTCGAGCAGTCTTCTTCTTTGATGCCGTTCGGCTTGGCTTCCTTGCGCGACGGCCGGGGGTAGTTGGTTGTGGTGAAGGGGTAGGGGCGGTTGTAGAGGCGGGCGTTTTAGCTCTCCGTGGGCGAAGACGGCGTGACGCCGTCGTGCCATTCTCAGAGACGGGGTCATCAACAGGAGCTGGCTCGGCAGGAGAGGGTCCTGCGGGCGCGGGGTCGGCTGGAGCCGCGGCTTGCTCGACGGAAACGGTGGCATTCCCATCCGGAATTGGGGGAGTTGGGTAGAGGTCCAGGTCGTCAGCCATTGTGCGCGGCCGAGCTGGAGTTGTGACGCGTGGGAATAACGGTGGAAGGTGGATGGTGTGTGGTTCCGCAAAGCGAACAGACCAGTTGGGATGAGGAGGAGTGGGATGAGAAGTCGTGGCCTGAAAAGCCGTGGCCTGAGAGTTCACAAGGACGCCCTGAGACGCTGGCTGACCGGGTGTTTCCAATTTCTATCTGGAATCATTCTGGTCAGTTCCCGCTTCGCCTGTGCCCTGCTGATTGGCCTTGCTCCGTTTCCGATGCTGGTTCACGTTCCAACCCCTAATTTGCGTGGGACCAGACTTCGGAAGGGCGGCCGATGCTCCTGTCTCTTTGTGATCATAAGGAATGGTCTTTAGCTCCGGCTTGCTTGACCATGTTCGGTGAGCGGGCACTGGGGCGGGCTGTAGTTTGCGATATTTGCCGGTTCCAGCATCGGAGGAGCCCGAGGGCGTGGAACGATGGCGGTGCATCGAGCCGGGGACCCCCTGGGGTGTCCCGGGAGGGCTCTGTCCCATGGGACCAGACATTGGCTGGGGGTGGCCAAAGGTCGGCGAAGGCATCTGAGGCGCGTAGCCAGGGCCGGACGGTCCCATGTAGGATTGCTGTGGCTGGGGGGCGGGCAGGATCCTTTCCTGTGCGAGTGGCGGCATAGGGGCCAGGGGCTCAGGAGTTGGGTAATGATAGGGTCGAGGGGGGCCAGGTGGATAGTAGTTGTTCATGCCATGAGGAGCCGGCCTCATCATAGGGTCACGCAGCATGTCATCTTGGACAGGCTGTGAACGACCTCGAGGCGGTCGGAGAGGTGGCAGTGGCTGCGGCGGCAGTGGTTCGGCAGAGAAGGGCATCCTAGGTGGAGGAGGCTGCGGGTAATGCTGCTGGTGCTGCGGGTGCTGCTGCTGCTGGTGCTGCGGGTGCTGCTGCTGCTGTTGCGGCGGCGGCGGACCCTGTGCCTGTGCCATAGCTGGAGATGGCGGGGGAAGCTGAGCGCCTGGAGGCGGGGGCTGCTGTGACCAGTAGCCATGAGAGTATGGCGTGCCGGGCCCCGGAGCCGGGGGAGCCTGTGCTTGAACCGCAGCCGGCGACGGAGCGGGAGCGGGAGCTAGAGCGGCCGGCGGAGGGGGAGGAGCCTGCTGAGACCAGTAATGAGCATAACCCGCGGCGGGTACTGGAGGAGGGGGAGCCTGCACAGGCGCCGACGCTGGGGCGAGCATGGTACCTTCAGGGCCATAGTGTGCCATACGGCCACCTGCGTAGAGAGGGTCGATCGGTCGGATAGCCCCCATGGGCACGTCTCGAGGAGGCTCAGGCACGGCGTAGCCGTTGTAGGAGTAGTACGCCTGGTGCTGCTCCTGAGCAGGCTCAAGGGGGGCATGCTGCGCGTTGATGGGGACTTGGCTCATCGGAGGAGCAACGGGTGGCACGTCCTCGCGATGGACCCTCATCTCGGATTCTGCCTCTGGCACGGCCACGTGAGGTGCCCGCGTCTTGACGATAGAGCCCTCGGGCTCTTGCAGGCGAGTCTCGACGTTGCACAGCTCAGCCAGGAAGTTGAGGTTGAGGCTGTTTGTCTCGGCAGCAGCAGGCGCTGGGGCAGGTTTCGAATCCGTGAAGACATCTCTAATGGCATCATATCTTGTGGCCTTTGGGGCAGGCGGCGGCGCAGCTCGCGTGTTCAGCTCGGCCTCGACAAAGGCGGTCGCATAAGTAAGGACGGACATGGCGGCAAGGCCACCCTGCTGGGGCGGCTCCGTGGGCTCTTCCTCTGTGGAGACCTGCTCATCTGTCTCGGGCGAGGTCTCGACGGCCTCGGGGATGGACTCGAGCTCCTTGGCGGCCGTGCCCAGGGATCGGCTGCGAAGCTCCTCCTCGGTGGGCAGGTACTCGGTGACGGCGACATCGTCGAGGGGGATGTCTTGCAGCTTGCAGAAACGCCGCATCGCGGCATTCATCTTCACCCTCACCGGCTCGTCAACCACGCGACGATCATTAACCGTCCGCTGGAAGGAGCGGGAGGCGTGGGAGATGCGGCCCGAAGGCTCAGCGATGAACACCACCGGCTTTCCCGGCATGACGTACGGCTTGGTCGGCTCCTGCTCGTTGGTGCTGGTAGGCAGGAAGACGCCGAAGCGGGGGTGGAGGCCATGCTTCTTGACGAGCTCCCGATCAAAGTCGGACGGAGTGGTGTTGGAATAGTCGTAGCCATTGCACCAGTAGTCAAAATGCATGCCGTTGCTGTCCGGGGTATCGAGGTATTTGCCTCGCTTGGCGTGCGTGTGTCCCTTGGAAGAGTCGTTGGTGCTGTCACGGAAGCCAATCTCATAGTCCTCAAAGGTGAAGAGTCGCGGAACGAGGAGGCGGCTGTTAGCGCCCCTCTCCTTCGCCGACGGTCTCTGGTTGTACATGCGGCAGCCGTACTCGTCAGCATCCGAGATGTTCTTGGGCAGGGGAGGGCTTCTTTCATGAGCGCCGAGCTTGCTATCGGATCTGGCGACAACAACAGGGGTAACGCCATTGGAAGCAATGACGGGCTCGGGAGTGACGGGACCAGAATCCTCCTCCACGGGAGCTCCATCGGTGTGAGATTCAATCTCCGTAGCCAAAAGTCCCTTGGCGGGCGTGATGGGGGTGGTGGGCAGGGGCTGGCTTTCAAAGTTGCTGCGAGTCGTCTTCTTGACGGTGGGCTGGCCCTCGGGCTGGTCTTGGGCGCGACGCTTGACACCACCCCGGGCACGTCCGCCCCTTCCTCCTCGAGTACCAGAAGAAGCGGCAGCAGCAGCAGCCGCAGCGGCGGTGGCAGCTTCGGCATCGCGGGCTCTTTGCCACATCTCAGTGCCCTCGACCCGCGAGGGATAAGGGACAAGGTAACCGTCCTTGTAGGATTCATAGATGCCAAACTCTTTGTCGAAATGCTCATCAGAGATGACCTTGTACTCATACTGGTCATCGGATATCTAAAAAGCATCACCGTGTTAGCAGCAACATCTTGATGAAGGGCCGGGACAAGGCTGCTGAAATAGGCTAGGGGGGCGGAAGCCAAGGGGGGGAATGTCGATCAGGGCATGGCAGGGCATGACTAATAAGACAGCCCAAGATACTTACGTCGATTGGGAGATCCTTTGAGCGAAGCGCACCAATGATGCGAACACGGTTCAACTGGCCATCAATGAACCGGTCTGCAAGGTCTTCAAAACCAAGCTGCAAGGAGAAGACGTGTTAGTCATGAAAAACCCAAGAGTGAATGGGGAAACAAGAAGGAAGAGAGGCTGAAAGGGGTTTGCTTCGATGAGCAGGTTCGATAGAAATACCACGTACCTCGAATTCCTGCTCCGTGACATAGATCGCGGAGTCGTAAGTCTCTTTGGCGAGTTGCGTCTTGGCTTGCAACTGGCGTTCAAACAGGGCAAGCTTCTGCTCCAGGCGTTGCTGAAGCTCGCCGGTCGCCTCATACTCATCGAGGTCGAAGTTGCGCAGGACCTCGTCGATGGACCGGTCGGCCAGCTCCTGCAGGGCGTTCTTGATGGCATACGAGACGGTCTGGTAGGTGGCCTTGAGATCTCTCTGGCGTTCATACGCGGCCTGAACGCGAGAGTCGGCGAAGCTCTTGGCTCGGCCTCTGCGAGTGCCGCCGCGGCCAGACTTGTTGTTTGCTGCTTTGGCGACGCCTGCCGCAGCGTTGTTGGAAGCACCTCTGCCGCCTCGGCCTCGACCAGCCCGGCCACCGCGCCCACCTCGGCCACGGCCACGGGCAGCGGGTTCCCGCTCGTTCTCAGCAGCCATGGCGAGAGGCGAGAGAGAGAGCGAGCGAGTGAGTGAGGGGGGGGCAGTAATTACTGTGTCTGGGGTGGTGTAGGGGTACAGAAAGGGTGCGGCAAGAGGCGTGGAAGGAGTGTAGAAAAAGATGTCAGTGTAGAGCCGGGGTTGAGGCCAGCCAGGTGAGTAAGCTAGGAACAAAAGAGCACGCGCGCCGCGGTGCCGAACAAAGATTGATCAACGACGACGAAGGTGCGACAAGGAGGGAAAGAAGGACGAGCAGGCGGAAACGAACAAAGGCGGCCTGGCCGTGGATGGTGGTGAAGAAGAAGAAGAAGAAGAAGGGGAAGAAGAGGTTGAGGAAGAAGAAGAAGAAGAGCTGCTTGTGTTGTGCTGATGATAACTGGAAGGCAAGGCAAGGTGAGTTTGGACAGCCGCCACAAACAGTGTTTGAAGGGAAAAAAGGGCCTGGCTGGCGGTGCTGTAACCTTGGGCCGGCGCACGGGGTACCGAGTACATGCACCAGACGCCGCTAAGGCTGGGGAGTACCGCCGCAGGTACCGCGCACAGTGCGACTGCTGGAGGGAACCTTAAAAGTGAAGAGAAACTGACGCTGAGCTGACTGCGATGTGTGCTGCCGCTTGTCCTGCCATAGGCTGGCGATTGAGCAGGAAACCGGGCTCTTTCGTCTGATCTCTTGGGCGAGGGCTCGCTCACGGCTCAGCAACAATAGCAGAGAGATTGGCGGTTGCGGCTATTGAGGCAGCGGCGGACAATCAGACACGCAGCAGCCCGGCTGAGACTGAAGAAGCGGGTGCGCAGGGCGAGCACAGGGTGAGCAGGATGTCAGTCAGAGCAGCTGGACGGAGGATGTGTAGGGATGTCTCTCTGTCTGTCTCTGATGCCGAAGAACCGCGGGACCGGCTGCAGTATTTATGAAGCAAAGGCAAGGTCTGGATGGACTGGAACATGAGAACGAAAAAAGACCTTTGTGCTGGTGCTGGTGCTGGTGCTTGGTGCGGCCGGCCAGTCCCTTTTCTGGACCCCCTCAGCCTTGGCCCCGGCCCAACCGCCAGCTCGCACTGGGAGCCGCTTGAGCGACGGGGGTCACTCCGCGGTACTGGGAACCTCGCCCAGCAGCCTCGCAGCGCAGCGCAGGACCTGCCAGCGACTGGCGGCGCGGCGCCCAGGCACAGAAGGCTAGGCCCGATTGGGACGCAATGGCCTTCCTCCGCGCCCTCTGGTTGGCGCGGACGAGGTGAATCTCCGGCTGCCGCGCTAGGGTGGGCCGCTGGGGGTGGGAAGGGGAGCAGCGATGGCAGCAGGTACCGGTGACCTGCAGGGGACAGGCGAGGAGAGACGACAACGGCTCCTCACCGCACAGTGGAGCAGGCGATTTGAGAAACCTTGGGGATAAACAGGCGCTCGCCTTGTGGACGAGAAGCGCGGGAAAAGACAGGGTGAGTGGCTGAATCATAGAATGGGCGACGAACTCTACTTCAAGGTTCTGTGCTGCGAGAGCCAAAGCTGTTAAGCCTGGGAGTCTCGGTTTGCTCACGATGGCTACGTGGACGTGTGGCGAAACGTGGTTGAACATGGCAGCAGAGGTGGACATGGGAATAGCAATCAAGAGCCGTAGGGCTCTATGGAGTTTACCTAAGTAGTCGCTACAGCATTAAAATCTCTTTCTCCTTGCTGTACTCGCTGTTTTGCTTGTTCCTCGCTTGTATGAGAGGGGAAACACTGACACTCCTCCAGTAGGTAGTAAGGTAGACAAGTTTCTTCCTCCATCAACCCGGGACAAGGACACCGGACAGTCCAAAGCGTGATGTCACTCCCAGCAAAGCATCTCCATCTGATACGTGTACAAAGTCTCCTACCGACACATTGTTCCATCTCGTTGACCAGCAAGAAGAGACCCCGGCCAGATGCCGCGGCCATAGAGGTGCGTTCATCCATCTATCCAGCAGAAACACGCCATGGCGCAGCTGCAGGCGAGCAAACCAATGCAACTGGCGGCACACCAGACGTGCCAAGTGCTCGCCTGTCCGCCCCAGTCCCCTGCTGCAGGTTGGGCACGATACATTGTGCCTCCCGCAAGGTAAGGTATGCAGGGCAAAGCCTGATGATTCCCGCTTGTCCCTTTGAACTACGGCCACAGTGTGTGTGTGTGTGTGTGAAGAGACAGGTACCTACTTACGGCACTGCCTATTTTGGGTCAATATCACCTTGTGCGGCAAGCCGCAAAGTCCCGAGAGAGGCGACCTAATTGAAGCTGCGCAACACATGGGTAGCATGGGAAAATAAACACAAGAATTGAGATGCGTGATGTGTGAAACAGAACGTCACGTTGGGTCTCACGCCTTGCGCTTCTTCTGCTGAGCGACTACCTCAGGTACTCGTACATGCAGGGCACCTGAGATGATGAACGCACGTGCAGTGATGCGTCACGCTGCCCTCGTAGGAGCGGCTAGTGCTGAACCTCTTTGCACAGACGGAACATTGGGTTGGGGGGGAGGAAGCAGAGAGAGACAAGTTGCAGGTACCCAGCCATGCTCGCGAATTCTCTGATCGTCTGGCTCGATCCTCCCGATCTCGAGCAACCCCGATTTCTCTCCCCCCTTCCCTGTTTGAGATGCTCGCCCTGTGTCCCGCGAGAGGCTGTTTTGCTTTGCTCTGCTTTTTGCAGCCCAGCGCTTCTGCAATACATCCCTCGTAGTAGCGGCAAACAGGTCCGCCGTCCCCACCTCCCCGAAATTGCCTCTTTGGGATCCAGGCGCTGCGATAACAGCCAAGGGACTAAGACGGGCGACGGATAAGGCACTGCTAACGCTGCGCTGCTGTTAGTGCTCGAGGATCATCTTCAGCGCGTGCGTTGGCCCAGTGCAGTCTCGCCTAACTTGAGTAAGTGATGAACCATGGCAGAATGCATGAATAATTGAACGAAACATCTCGTCTCTCAACTCCCCCCGAAACCGTCCCACCGCACGCGAGATCGACCGCTGCATCTGCAAGCAGCGCGGTGCTGTGCTGTACTTCAAGTTGTACTGCACCTATAGCATCTCACGTATTACGCGCACTTGTCGCTTGTAGCGCAGCGCAGGTGCTCCGCAGAAATCGTGAGCTCCAGCTGCTCTTTGATCCCAGATTTTAGCGCGGCTTTTCTTGGCCACGGCCCCTAAACGACTTGCGCTTTTCGGGCCTCTGCCGCCGCGAGCCTCGCCGCTGATTGGTCGCATCGCCCTCGTCCGCTTGCCGCCATCCCGCCCGATTAGTTGCACGTGAGATCTGCCTTCGTTGTGCTTCGCTTTTCTGCTTACCTTATCCATAACCTTTTCTGTAGACTCTTGAGGCCAAACACCGTAAAAAGTGGTTCCCCGTTTCGGGCTCGGCATCTTTTACACCAGATTTTGCATCATCACCTCGACTTCATTGGATCATTGCATCTTATTCTCTTGTCTGCCAACGCATTATACCCTTCCAGTGCATAGTCAATTGCTGGAGCCGCAATCCATCCAATCATCGCCCCAATGGCCAAAAGACGGAAGCTCGCCCACCCGCCCGCCGCGCCAAAACGACCCTCCGCACGCCCGCAGCCCAAGGACAAGAACCAGCCAAAGGGCCCCGGCGCAAAGGCAAAGAAGAAGCAGCAGCACCGGCAGCAGCAGCACGACGAGCCCGTCATCCCCTTCAGCCGCCACGACCGCATCCTGCTGGTCGGCGAGGGCGACCTGAGCTTTGCTGCGTCCATCATCGAGCACCACGGATGCACAAACGTCACGGCCACGGTGCTGGAGAAGAACCATGCCGAGCTCGTCGCAAAGTATCCCGCTGTGGACGCCAACATTGCCGTAATCAACCGCCGACCGGGTCAACAGCATGATGAGGACAAGGATGAAGAAGTGAAAGAAGAAGAGGAGGAGGACGAAGAAGAAGAAGACGACGACGAGGACACCGAATCTAAACCACCCACCATCACCAACAAGCTCATCTACAACGTCGACGCAACCAAACTACCCCCCTCCGTCGCCCGCTCCCCCCACGACCGCATCATCTTCAACTTCCCCCACGTCGGCGGAAAGTCCACCGACGTGAACCGCCAGGTGCGCTACAACCAGGAGCTCCTCGTCTCCTTCTTCCAGCGCTGCCTCGCCTCCCCCCGCGCGCCGCTCGCCCCCGGCGGCTCCGTCGTCGTCACCCTCTTCGAGGGCGAGCCGTACACCCTGTGGAACATCCGCGACCTCGGCCGCCACGCGGGCCTGCAGCTCGAGCGGAGCTTCCGCTTCCAGGCGGCGGCGTACCCGGGGTACCACCACGCGCGGACGTTTGGCGTCGTGAGGAACAAGAAGGGCGAGGAGAGCGGCGGCTGGAAGGGCGAGGATCGGCCGGCGAGGAGCTTTGTGTTTATGAGGAAGGAGGAGGTGGAGGGGCAGGCGAGGAAGAAGCGGAAGCGAAGTGGCGACGATGATTCCTCGAGCGACGAAGACGACGAGTGATTACTATTCCAGCATATATACGGATGTATCGGGTCTATCGAACAAAGCATATACTACGCAGATATCGGGTCTTATCGAAAAGCGCATTGTACATATACAACCGGAAGGGACGTGGACGGATATCCACGGCAATCTCATTAGAAAGGGGGGCAACGGCGTTTATGGCTGGGATTTTTTGGCTTTTTTCTTCACATATCCTTCTTCTGGTTATACCTATCCAAGTAGTAAAGCAATGGGATGAGTTCAAGCTCCATCGCCTGAACATGCAAAAGACGCCAGAGCAAAAGCCAAATTATACCAAAGGTACCACAAGGCTCAGCCCAAGCCCAAACCTTTGAAACGAAGCAGACACAAGCTAGTACTACTTATTGCGTCCCCCAGTCACAACTGCCTTAAAAGGCGCCAACACACCCGCAATACGAGAACCTACGCAAAAGACCCAGCCTGGATCTCTATACGCGAGCTCTATTCTGTCTACCAGGGGGGCTCCATCTCCCTTTCCTAATAGATGAAAAATAGAATCAGATTAAAGAAAAGCCCAGCACCATGGCGTAGTATGGCGTATCGCCGCCTCGCTTCTATATCAAGCACACCTTACCCTAAAAAACGCCCCCTTTTCCCAACCCCGAACCCTCCAACCAAACAATCCTTATCCCCCCCTCTTTGACCCAAGAACAGCCAAATGTATAGAAAAGACACACCAAAAGATCCTCCGTCTCCTCCTTTCGTAGCATTCAGCTTGAAAACGCCTCACCTCATAGCCTTTGCAATACTAGTTCTCAACCAAGTTCTTAGAAGTAGTAGAGAAAAAATGAGGTTCCATTTCAAGATCCATTGTTCACAGTCCACATACAGCAGATCCTCACTTCCCTCCCCCATATCCGCGCCCCCTCCTCCCCCCTTTCACCACCCACCCCCCTTTGTTGCTGTCGTGCTGCCCACCGCCGCCGCCGCCGCTCCTGCTGGTGGTTCAATGCATCGTTTCCCCTAGTATAGTAAAGCCATGCCGAAACCGATCCAGGTTTGCCCAATTACACAGTGTCCCGATTATGATTAAAAAAAATAGTAATCCCTTTTTTTGGTTGCTTCCTAGAACTCATAAAAGCGTAGATATAGAAGGAAATATTAAAGAAAGAAAAACCTGGCAAATAAAACCGAAAAAAAAGATGATGATCGAGTCAAAGTGAAGCGCATCCCCTCTATTCCGTCATCTCCCAGCCGGAGAGTCGAAAGAGGGGGTATTGGTATTCAAATTACTCCAACGGAGTAAAGAAAAAGGGGGAAGTAAAGAAAAATAAAAAGCATGGGGAAAATATGGGGAATCAGTGAAAAGAAAAGACCTGTATGGTACAATGCAGATTCTATCGTGACCCCTAAACTCCAAAAAAATAAAACCAGAGCTTTGTGCATTAGCTGTAATATGTGCATTCAGGATAGCCTCAAGAACACGGCCACCATCCGAGGCCGTAGCCTCAGTGGCCCAACAGCTCTTGTCGGGCGTTGCCGTGTTCATCCATGGACGTCTGCTGTTCAGCCGGACCATCCAGGCTCGACCGCGAGACAGTCTCCTTGTTCCTCGCCTGCTCTTCTTCGTCGAGGCGCTGCGCTTCCTCATTCTCTCGCACGAGGGCCTCTTCTTGCTCAAGCAACGCTTGCTCCTCCGCCGTCCGAGTCGCACCAGGGTTCTCTGGTGGAGGTGGTGGCGGCGGGGGAGGAGTGGCACCGTCTGCTCCGTTCTCCTTCACTCTCTTCACGTCGGGCCCGTCAAGCGGCGAGCTTACAGAGACCTCCATGGCCTCAACATCACGCTTTCTTTTACGGTCAGAGCCGTCGGGGGACTCATCTTCCACATCACTAAGGACGATGTCTTCCGCGACAGCCTCTACCTCCTGGGACGAAACGATGGGGCTCTCGCCGGCCTTGTCTCCGTCGGAGGCTGGCTTCCCGTTGGCGGCCGGCCCCCCGCCGTTCTCGCTCTTATCCGTCGTCTCGGGTGCCTTTCGTTTATGGTGCGCCTCATACTTGGCCACTGCTCGGTCCAAGAAATCCTTGACGTACTTCTTGATATTCCGCTCCTGCTTTTCGGTAAGAGGGGCAGCAGGGTCGCTGACGCGATTGTTCTTGTAATCGGATGCCACGAGCTTCTTGGCGACGTCTTTGCCAAGTCGCTTGAGCTCTTCTTTGGGCAGCTTGTGTCGAAACTTGTCCAGAACATGCTTGACGGGAGGGTAAACCTAGGTTGGGCAGTTGCCATGTCAGTTCCGAAACACGCCACAACGCTGCGCGCGGAGCATAGCCAAGAGCACATTTCATGAGGCGACGTACCGTGTGTTCGTAGATTTTCATCTGCTTCTCAACCGGCAAAGACCGCCACTTGTCCTTCTTGGCCTCCTTGGGACTAGAGGCCTCAATGGGCGCTGGGGTCTGAGAAGCCGGCTGCTTCGGAGTACCCTCCTTGGTCACCTTGTCAATGATGCTTTGGATGAGAAGCTGCTCTTGTATAGCCTTGGACGGAGCCTTGGGCGTCTGTTCTGCGGCCGGCTGGGTAGGCCGCTCCCAGGTCGATTTGCCCTGCTTGTTGTAAAAGTACGTGTTGCCGCCGGCATCCTTGGCAGTGAACCATCCTGCAGGCAGGGAGTTGTTGTGGAAGGGTCTGCGCTGGCGATGGCCATTGTTGCCAAAGTATGAGTTGTTCCTCTGCGGGACATTGCTTCGCGGTCCCTTGGGGGCATCAATGGGTCGCGGAGACGCCTTGGGTGTCTGCTGAGTCGCTGCGGCCTCTTCTTCCCGGGCCTGTCCCCTTCGCTCTTCGAAATGGTTCTGCGTCGGCGCGTTGGGGTCGACCTTTCGCCGTCGTATCCGGTAGGCGACCTCGAGTTTGCTCCACTCGTCGAGGAGCTTCTTGGATTGTGAGGCTACATCCTCGTGCTCGGATCCGGTCAGGGTCTGGATCGTCGCCTCGATGTTGGAGTCTTGGATCTTGTTCCTCGTCAATCGGGGGAACTTGTCCAAGATGGACAGGACTTGCAAGACAACGTTGCGGTCATCGATGAATGTGTTGAGAGTCGTCTTGAGGATCTGGTACGCGTGCATGCGCATCACGCAATGGATAACGCGCTCCTCGTCGCAGCGTTGGATTCGCTCCAGCAGCTTAACCGCAATCCACTTCTCCTTGCACTGCATCAGGGTGGCCATGACCTTGCGGGCATCGTCCTCGTCCAAGCTGCGAGGCTGTATGCTGTTGACATACTCCTCATCATCCTCGTCGGGGCGCTTCTTGCGGGGCTTCTTGGGAACCTGTGTGTCCCAGCCATCGGCGCCGTCGATGCCCAGGGCCTCGACGGTAGCCGTGGGCAGCTTGGTGGCGCGCTCCGTCTGTGTCTTTCCTCCAATGAAGCCGACACAGTTGGGCTCTCCGCAATAGCAAGGCTGAGGCTCAGCGCCGTAGCGATCGACGTTGTAGTTGAAGACAAGCTCCTCGCCCGCTTGAATCTTGCGCAAAGCGAAAATGCCCATTCGCAGCTTGTCGCCAACCACCCACTTGTCGACGAAGCAATTGGGGCTGCATGAGTGGTTGCAGAATCGGCCCAGGTTGCCCTTTTTGGTCGCGTCTACAAACTCGTTCTTGTTGAGAGACATGAAGTAAAAGTGCTTGATGCCCTCTTCGTCATACTGCAGCATGCGTCGCCGGAAAGTCGGCTCATTGATGACCTCTCCGATGTATTCGTAGATGAAGTCATTTGGCTCTAGAGGCGCATTGGCGCGAAGGCCAAAGCCCTTCTTCTCCGTCTTGATGACGGTCACGTCTGCGTACTGTTTGCGCTGAAATCGTCGATTCTGACAGCCGCCACCGCAGTTTGCAGAATCGGCGCTGCACTCCATCTTGGTCGCGCGGTTGATGCAGTCCGAGTCTTCACCACAGGCGAAATTCTCGCCATCTCCTGCTTGCTGTCAGTACAAAAGAGCCAAGAGAAGAAGAGTGACGCCTGTGGTAAACAAGAAAAAGCCCCTAACGGAGAAGAGAAGGGACAAATCATGAGGGGAAAGGAGGGTTGGGTCTAGACATACGCCATTCTTCTCTGCAGTCGCAGTCGAGGGCGTCACTGTCCGTCGAGCCCAGATTCTTCGAGCCATAGAGACAGTCAGGGATGACCTGGAAGGTTGCGCACGACTCGGCCGTGACGTCTGGCAGGTGGCCGTACAAGGGCACCTCGCGGGCGGCGGGCTTCTGGGACGACTTGCGCGACAACCGCGCCGGCTTGGCTGCAGCCGTCGAGTTGGGGGTTCCGACGCTCTCGCTCTGCGACTTGGAGCCATCCAGGGAGGCAGGGGACGGGGCTTCGCTGCTCTGCAGCTTCGGGGTGGCAGTAGAGGAGGCTCTCGCTGCGGCGTCGGGGAGCGCGCCGGGCTCGACGGCATCCTCGAGCTTCACTTTCTCCATTCTGTTCGTCGTGTTCTCCTCATCCTCCATTTGACGTCCTGGGCGGGAGCGCGGCTGCTGCGAGGGCAGGGCAGGCGGCGTTACTCTTGAGGCAGGCAGAGAGTAGGAAATCCGGGTCAAGGGCGGAAAAATGAAACAGAACGCTGGGCAGAAGGGCGACGCGGTTGGCAGCCTCTTTTTGTCTCCTCTCTACTCTCGCTCCTCTCACTTCTCTCTCGCTCGCTCGCTCGCTGTCTCTCTTTTTTCCTCGGCCTTGGACACGCGCAGGGCAAAGGACCGCGTGTAGATTCTGAAGCGGGCGGGATTGGGCAGAAACGCGGGACTGGTTGGCAGGCGGATGCATCAACGGACGGGCTGCATCGACGTTCGCATCGGCGGCCGAGGGTTGCGAGCTTGGAATGAAAAACAAGAAAGAGAAGCTTTTCGAGGTTCGGGATTTGGTCCTCGCCTCTAGTCGGGAAGGCGTTCCAGCTGGCCGTGCCAGTGCCAGGCCCTATTGGCAGCCCGTTTGGAGGGACCGGGGGCGGCACCAGCGGAATTTCATAGGCCCGGCGCGCCAAACTCGCGGCTCGAGCTGCCGCCCTTTTCGGCGTCTGCGTCTGCCACTGCCACTGCCAGCGCAGTCGGGCAGAGAGAGGGCAGAGGCAGCCGAGCAGAGGCGCGTTGGGCCGGCAGAGCACGAATCATGGCATCCACAGGCTGGGTTCTCACGCGCTGGGCCATCGGGACCAGCAGAGCGGCTTGGGCAGTGGCATCAGGTCAGGCACGGGGAGCAGACGGGCTGGAGGACAGAGACGGAGAGCGAGCAAACTGCCCAAGGATGATATCCTCGCCAGCCTCGTCGGCTTAGGCAGGTAGGTAGGTAGGCATAGTAGGTAGGTAGACTTGGTGGTTTTTACACATCAGCAAGTATATATACACAGCAGCATAGACTGAGTAGCCTCTACCTATCCGCATAGAGGTGTGCAACTCATCGTTGATTGTGCTCGAAAAGAGGCACATGTCCGCCCAGTCCACCGCACTCAAGGCGAAGTATTAGAGCCGCGAATCCAGCAAAGCTGCTGCTGCAAGAGAACTTCTAGAAAAGGGTCGCCCAACTTGCAAAAATGCAAAGGCCAAGCTGCGACATACAGTGCATGAGCCAATAACAGCATCTCGGGCTCTCAGGCTTTCGGCGCCAAACGTGGAAGCTGTTTAGCGTCCTCGTAAGGGGGGCACCCAGGTGAGTTGGCAAGGTTGGATGTCGTCAGAAGAGAAGCACACAAGCGGTCCAGACGAGAAATGCGCCGGCATTAGCTGGTGCCTCTAGCCTCAGCCTCGTCCCTTGACGATGCAGAATTTTCCCACGCAAACAACTGGGATTGATCCGGATCAACCTACCTCATCTGGCTCCCAAGAGATATATTCTCCCAACTCGGGTAATATCGAATACGAACTGGCTGGAATATCGTGGCGTCCCGTGCATCAAAGGCTAAAAGGAAAGAAACCCGTCGGCCGCAATTCGTATCAAGCACAGCAAGAGTGTGCCATGTTGTTGAATCCCATCCTGACCGCCATTTGCAGAGTTGCTTTATCCTGGAGTCGCAAACACCGGGGTTGCCGACTCGCGGAAGTAACTCTAATGTTGCGATTGTGTATAAGGTCTTCACTGGCGTCTCAGATGGCGCACGCAAGGGGAAAGGGGCAGAGGAAACCGATCCAGACACAGATTGCCCGTACACCTATCGCTCGGTAGCCTAGCGAATTACACGCAGAGTGCCAACCCCAGGTTTAACCATGCAAGCGTTCGCTGCCGCAGCCACGTGGCGACGTAACAGAAAGGCAGGCATCGACAGCGGTATGACCATGTTGGGTTGCGAAGATGCGATTGGAATTAGGACGACATACTTGTAGCAGTGGCATTCGTCAAGGGGGAGGCCCATGCCGGAGAATGGAAGCGGCTTTCGAAGGCCGGCCAGCGTCTTGTTCAACACGTTCTACCGCCTTTGCGCAGAGAATTTTTTTTATGATGTGTTGTACATGAGTGGGTCTGGTGGGTGCCAACTCATTATGCATGAGGTATTGGCCTCCAGAAGGAACCGGTTCGTCTTGGATATAGCGAGGCTATATAAGACAGGCGGACACCGGTGGATTGGGCCCGGGTGTCTCTCGAGTCGTCGATGCGAAGCGGCCGAAGAGAGGAGGCAGAGACATCGAAAGCCGCCGCCGAAGATGTGGTCGCGATGGCCTCGTCACCCCGCGGCCGTGGCCCGTCTCCGTCTGCGTCCGTTCTGCGCCTGTCTGCGTCTGGATCGCGGCTAACGGGACGGGCCCGCCACCGCTCGTCGGGCATGGCCTCTCTTGTGCAGCCATACGCCGAGTCTCGCCAGTGACTGGTGACGAACGGGTGGATTTGCGCTGCGGCAGAGGCATCTGACAAGAGCGCGGAGAGCGGCATGATTGGTGCGTCGCCGTCCAGTGGTCTTGTGGCCGTCCAATGTGCTCCGGCTCTGGGACGGGACGCAGCCAGCATTCGCGGCCAATGGGCGAATTGCAGTCAGCTCGACGCCATGCTGCATCACGCGGGCAATCAAACGACCGTCTACTGCTCAAAATCTCTCGTTCGGGAGCCTTGCTTTGCATCATGTACAGTACGGACCATGTACCATGGTGCAAGTGCAAAGCACAAGGTCTCTCGACGGAGCGAATGGCCACCGCGCTGCATATCTGGTGCGATGCGGCCGCTTTGAGAGGCCACCCCCACCCGGCTCAGCATCAGTGTTCAGTCAGGATCATGGCCAGGATTGGGGTCAGGCAGGACATTCGGAAGAAGGGCGCCAGCAGCGGCAACAGCAAACAGCAACAGCACCAGCGATACCAGGACACGCGGAGGGACAGGGAAAAGCAGCAGCGCAAGACGACAACAAGACCCGGACACGAGAGGCCAAGACGCCCAACATTGGAGGACGACCAGCAGCAGCAGGAAAAGCAGGCTTGCCGCTTTTGGTGCTGAGGGAACGGGGGAAGCAAAAGCAAGACTGTCAGGCGGCCGATGGCTGGCGCGGGATTGGCCGATTCAGCGCAACAAGGTCCGCCACGATGCAGCTGCACGTCAGGTTTGGGCACACCCATTCGACAAGGAGCTGCTTGACGGCGTCTGGAGCGTCGGCTGTGTGTCGCATCGCCTAGGCGTGGTAGCGCGCAGCAAATCGGATGGCGCCGTCGCCTCGCCCAGCACCCGGGGGCCCTGCTGGGGATCCATCGACAGCAGGACGCTCAAGGAAAAGGGCCTCTTCGGTAGTTGGCGGTACTGGCCAAGGGTGGTTTGCGCGCAGCTAGATTAAAAATTCCTCTTGGAGGGGGGGATCTGAGGACTGCGTCGACAATCAGCGGAGGAGATGAAGGAGGGAGGGAGGGAGGGAGGGAGGGAGAGGAGAGCGAGCAGCGGAGGCAAGCGCACAAGCAAGCAAGCAAGCAAGCAAGCAAGCGATGGCATCGTGGAGGAAGCATCTCGGGGAGGGGGGTTCGTTGGATGGATGGCCGAGCGAGCGAGCAGCGGTCCTGGAGGGGGGAAACAGGTCGAGCCCATGGCCTCTCAGACTGCACAGGATGGAGCAGGGACAGATCCAGAGCCACGACATTCACCGAAGTTGCCATGCCCTGGTATGACGGGCCAAAGAAAGCGGCCGTGGACGACTGCGTATCTGCGCGAGGGACCCGCCCAACGGCACGCAGGCTGGGTTGACGAATGAAACCTTGGTCATGCTGGCGGCCAGGCAGTGACTTATCATACGCTGGATGACGACTTTTGGCTGGCGATGTGGGCTGCTTTGGTGTTGTTGCCGTTGCGGTGATGATGATGATGATGGTGGTGGTGGTGGTGCTGTTATCGGAGCTGGTATCGGCGCTGCTGTTGGGGCCCCGTTGGCGGGAGTTGTTGAAGACCGCCCGCGAGACGGAAGAAGGCAGAGGGAAAGAGGGAAGAGAGACGCTCAACCAACAGCCCACGGAGATTTCGAGATGGAGCCAGAGGCAACACCCACAGCACCACGGCACAAGCACAAGCACAGCACTGCCATGGATTGCTGATCCTGGTTCGTCTACTTCGCTCTCTGCTCGAGATGCGCTGCCAACCCCAACTCGCCTCGCTGGCTTGGTTGTACCGATACTTGCGCGCAGCACGCGCAGGGCCCTCATCCCACTTGTCGCTGGTACCCGCCCGCCGGCTAAACAGGCGCCCGTCCGCAGGGCCACGGCCCATGCCTGGCTGACTTGCTCACTTCCACGTTCACCTTGTCCATCGGCCACCACCCCTGTCAGTATGAGATACGCCCGAGGTCGAGTCGACTCGTGTCTGCTTTGCCCTCTTTCAGCTCAGCTCAGCTGTGCAAGTATCTGACCTACATACTGGCACTGGGATTGGGACGCGGTGGTGGATGCCCGCGCGATGCGAATGCAGATGCAGATGCAGATGCTGCAGGAATGCAAGTGCAGGCCCGGGTTATGAAAAACTGAACCCATGGACAGACGACAAAAGAAGGAAAAAGGCGCTGCTCTGCTCCGTATAGCGTCCGTGGCCCCCCCGGCTCGCCTACAGGGGACCCTTCCAGTTCCCCCCATCTCCCGTCCCCTCACCCCCAGGCAGATTCCGCGCTCCGTTGCATGCGAGACAACGGTCCAAGGACTGCAGCAGACGGTCCGGATGCAGACGCGGCTCCATCTCGCGATGTGCTGCAGCTCCCCGGCAGACCTGCCAGAGGCTGGATATTGGATTTTGGCCTGCTGCTACGGCTGGAACTGGCTAGCCACGCCACCGAGACGCCCTCCGCCCAGCCTGTCGACGGCCCTCCCAAGCCTCCCTACACCTTCCGGTGCCCTACCTTGTCTGGATGTACCCTCAACCCTGCCCCTAGTACTGATCCCTACATTAGTGCGGCGGCCTCTTGGACTGGATCGTGTGTCAAATCGCCACTGCAGGGTGCCGTCATACCTTGTGGTCGACCATGCCGGGTACCAAAAGTACGAGTGTTGCTAAAAATCGAGTCGAGGCGATGTCGTTTGACGCGGGCTCTGGGGGTACCGATACCGTCTGGTGGCTTGGAGCTCTGGCTGCGGTTCTGGCGTCAAGCTCCGGCTCCGAGGCAAACGAGAGGTGTCTTGTACACGCCGTCAAGGGCCTCGACTTGTAAAGGTACTTGGCCAGAACTGCTCTGCTCCATCGAGTTCGCCAAGCATGGCCAGGGGGGGCTGGCGGGCATTTGCTTGTAGCAGCAGGTATTTTGCCTTTGCACAACGCCAGCAGACGCATCTTGGCCAGCCTCGAAGCCAAGGTCCAGATCCAGGGCGAGCAGCATCGACTCGACCATCGCTCCAGAAGGTGGAAACGCTGCAGTCGATACCACCTCCCACTCGGTACTTGCGACTGGCAGCTCCGCTCCGCACGCAACTGGTACCGGCTGCTGGCAACTGGCTGCCCGTGACTGGCTGACTGACTGACTGACTGACTGCGGGCTCGTCAACCCGCGCTCGCGCCTACACGGACAGGCACAGGCAGGCCACCGGTGCCGTAATACTACATACGCCCTGCTTGCTGCTCTGATACCTGCTGGACGACGTCCTACCACCTCAAGGTCCCAAATAGCACAGCGGCGCAGCGCGGCTTGTTGGACGCTCGCAAACGCCTCGCCTCGCCTCGCCTCGTCTTCGCTCTCGGATCATCGACAAGCTGCCTCGCAGGGCTCTCGGGGTCGACAAATCCCAGCATCTGACTTCCAGCAGCTTCTGTCCTCGTCACCAGAGAGTGCCAGGCCAGTTGAGCGTCAGTCTCTGCAACGGCAGAACAAAAGTGGTGGCTTCCCCCCCAGCCCACCGTGGCAACCTTTTCTGCTAAAGGTCCTATCCAATCCCTCGCCAAAGAGCGACGACTGCACTATTCAAGGCTGCAGCTCAGTCTCCTTTTGATTTCCTCTTCTTCGCCTCTCTCGTTTCTCAGCACCCCCTCTTCCTTTCTTCTTCCTCACTCCCTCGTCTCCCCTCTTCTGCAACCTCTCGACAATACGACCAAGGCGGCCTCGAACTTGGATTTTGTCATAAAAAATTACCATAAACCCGCAGGGTACGACTTGACAGCGCCGGCCTACTGACGACAGGCATACCATACCATATCGTGCCCACGGCCGTGCTCGCCTCCAACCCCGGCAAATCTGCACCCTTCTCGTCTTTCTCTGCATCTGCTCGCTTCATTGCCTGCAACGAGCGTTCTACTGCATGTCGCGGATCGACGCTGCACAACCCGCGCCTCTCCATTTGTTTATGTTTCTCCTCGAGACCCGTAAGAACCCGCTCGTATCAGCCACGGGGTCTTTGAGAAAGCCGCGCGCCTGCTAGCCGGTGTCGTGCATTTCTGCCCTTCACGATAGCGGGCTCGAGACGACATCCACGGGACAGGGAAGACGGGAGGATCCAGTCTCTCCTCCACCGAGCCGGGGATCGCTGCCCGAGTCAAGGGCTCTTATTTTTTTCGACCAGGCCTTGTTTCTCGACTAGTTTCAGGCCTACTTTTTTTTTTTTCCCTACTACTTCCCTGGCTGCTGGCCCTGCGAGATCTGCCTGCGAGGGGTCTCGTGGAGGAGTGGCTGCACAACCACCACAAAGCAGGTTATCTCGACCAGAGCCGTGCCACGACGCTTCCTCGCCATCTGTCTGGCGTCTGGCAGTGTTGCAGCTAGATGACAAGTTGCTAGGCCTCGTTGCTTTGTGGAGTTGTCTTTCGACAGTTGTCATTCTTCTTTCTTTCGTTTGGCGGTAGTTTCAAGCTTTCAACCTACCGCAGCTCAATGTTCGTGCGAGGGCTGGCACCACGTTCTATTCTCGTTTACTCTACCCTTCTTTGACGACGGTCAACGCTTTTGATTTCTCACGATTTATTCTCCATTTTCTCTGACTTCCGAAACCATGGCTACTTCATTTTCCCTCGAGGAAAAGGTACGTTGAACGGCTCCTCGTCCTGCACTTTTGGAGAGCGTAATCTGACCAGAAACCTACTTCTCACAGCGCTTTGTCCTCGCGGAGATGATCAAATGCAGCACCGTTGATATCGAAAGGCTGGCGCGATTCGTCGAGGTAAACGTACTCGACCCCAAATGGATCACCATGCAAATACCGTCAGGTACGACAGCGATATATTTTCTCAACCGTTATGCGTTCATTTTTCTAACCCTGCATAGGCCGCAACCTGGAGCAGTGCATGCAAGTCGCGGATTCCCTCTCGTCGGCCCCAGGATATCGATCCGCAATGTCTCAAAATGATCATTTGACCGGCAGCAGCATGAACCACGCCAGACAGATGGCGCCGAGAATGAGCCCTGGCGGCCAAACCCCTGGGGCCATGCCAACGTCGCCGGGTCTCATGTCGCCGTGGCAGCAGCATCCAGATGGCGTCGAAGATAGACGAGTGCACGCCCTCGAGGCACCTCCGGGTGACCAGGCTCCGAAGAAACGGGGACGTCCTCCACGCGTGGACAGAAAGACGGCCGCACCTCCACGGCTTGCCAACATCGCGCCCAAGCCGCCTCCGCTCTCTCCAGGCCCCAATACTCCTCGAACAATTCTGCCGGCGACTCCCAGGCAAGCTGAAGCTCAGAACCCTCAGCCGCAGCCTTCAGCTCGCGCTCTGCCGCCTCTCGATTCGCCACCGGCCAGAAAGAAGAGACGAACCGCCACCGGTGCAACTTCTGTTACTACGTCGCCCCCTCTTCCGCCGGCTTCTGCACCCGCTCCAGCACCTGCTTCTGCACCTGCTTCTGCACCTGCACCTGCTCCTGCTCCTGCTCCCGCCCGAGCCCCAACTCCTTACCTGCCTCTCGTTACTACGCCTCCGCCGTCTTTGGACCATGGCAATCGGCCGGTAAGTCGCAAACTGGAAGAATCGCATGTGCCTTGTCTGACACCGTGCCCACAGCGAGCACCACCTGAGACAATTTCCACCATTTCACGCGAGACTGAGCAGATACAGCCCCCTCGCCCCATTCCGCTCGAACCAGAGCCACGACATCACACTCTCATGCCGGTTGGGTCTGCGGCGCCACCGTCTCAAATCAAAGCCTAAGGCTGGCCATCACTCTGGCGTCGTTCTGAGCGTTCTTTGAGCCAACGCGTCAGAGAGACTAAGGATTGATACCTCGACTTTTTCTTTCCTTTTCTTTTCTTGCTGCGGCATACGAACTTTCTTTCCTTGAGAATGACTCTATATACCCTCGAATTCCCCCCTTTCCCTGTCTTGCGCCTTTTTCTGTCTCTTTTCTTCTCTTTTCTTTTCCCCCTTTTCTTGGACCATTCTGTATAGGGATAGTCCTGAGCATACCAGCGGCATCTGGTGACTGTATCGCATGATGAGAGGCTTCTTGACATTTGCAATCTGGATGAGTGGATTGGATGAACATGATGAACATTTTGGGCTGCGAGGAGAACTAGGCAATCATGATGATATGGTCTCACGAGAGGGTAGGCTGTCTGTTTATTTCAGTTGGTATTTGATTTTTCGTCTTTTCCCTCCTTGTTCTGCATCGTACGGATAGATGGGCACGGCATGTCGTTGAACGGCACCTCTGCTCTTTCCCTTCCTTTCTTCCCCAGCCACGGATATCCCAGGTTTATCTTGGCATCTGATGGACTGGGATTGTATGAGTACTACTCTGGTATGCGGCTTAGAAGGTCAGTACGGGGGTTAGTAGATAGGTAGGTATGTAGGTAGGTAGCTTTCTATAGAGGCGTTGGGGTATACAATGCTGCATGATTCGGACCACTGTCGGTGATATCGAGGTCTTGAGTGCTTAATATTCGCTGGACGATTATACCAAAGGGTATATAGTTTCCGTCAGCAGGTGACGAATAGAATCCTTGCGAGTCTGTACTCCGTTTTCTCTTGCTGTGATGTGATTGCACGCAAAAACGTCGTCTACTGTAACATGGGGGTTCTTTATTGGAGCAGCAACGCAAGCAAGGGGGGGCTGCGATCCGTGAATTGAATGCCATTGGACGGAAAAATGTGAACCGCTTTGATTGAAAATGAGGGCGGCTTCTGAAAGATAGTAGTAGGGGGAGTTGATGTATGTGATTGTAAGTGACAAAACAGAGATTCGGTGGTTCAAGCTTTTTTTTTCCCGTTGAATGTTCGATTACGATGGGAGGTATTTTGCTTTTATTATCAAACTGCATGGTAGGTATGCTTTAATGCTTTGACTCTGGTTATTTTCTTTTCTGATGACTTTCCCCATGACACTTCTTTGCCGTTACATCTTTCCATCAACTCTGGTCGAATTTCATAGGCAAACTACTACAGGTATTATCTCACATAGCACAACATCACTGCTTGATCTTTTTTACAAGATTTCTTTTCTTCCTTTTTTTTTCTTCTTGCCTCTTTTTTTCTTTGTCCTTTACAGAGCCTTGACAATCTTCTCCAAAGCATCCACCAGAATGTCGGCATGATGCTCCTGGAAGGTCAACATGGGCCGCAGGCGCACGGCGCTGGCGCCGCTGCCGCCAATGTTGACGCCAAACTCCTTGGCCTTTGCCAGGAACTGGTCGCGCTTGGGGTTGTCGAAGGCGATGAAGGTGCCCTGGCCCTTGCCGCGCAGGTTGGCAAAGTGCTCCGGGTACCTGCTCTGGAGGGCCTCGAGCTTGGCGTAGAGGTAGTCGCCGACGCGGGCGGTGTGGCTGACGAGGTCGAGGCGCTCAATCTCCTCGACGATGGCGCGGAAGAGGATGGCGCGGGCGGGGTCGCCCATCCAGGTGTTGAACTGGCGGTAGGGCTTGTTGGGCCGCAGGGCCGGGTCGCCGTAGTAGAAGCCGGCGGTCTGGGCCTTCTTGGAGAAGGTGACCATGTCCGGGGGGTCCTGGAGGTCCCAGTGGTCGTGGGCCCAGAAGCGGCCGGTGGCGCCGACGCCGGTCTGGACCTCGTCGACGATGAGCAGGACGCCGTGCTTGCGGGTGAGGGCGCGGAGGCCGCGGAAGAAGGCCGGGCAGGCGTGGTTGTCGCCGCCCTCGCTCTGGATGGGCTCGACGATGACGGCGGCGGGCGGGATGTGCCACGTCTGGATGAGGCGCTCGACCTCGTCGAGGCTGGCCTGCTCCGCCGCCGCGTTCTCCTCGGCGTGCCGGTCCAGCGGGTACTTGAGCTGCGGGAAGGTGGCCTGCGGCCAGTCAAAGGCCGGGATGTCGACCTTGTGGATCGGCTTGGAGCGCGTGGTGGACAGGGTGCCGAAGAGGCGGCCGTGGAAGGCCGTCTTGAAGGACAGGATGGACAGCGACGACGAGCCCGGCGACTGGTTGTTCATGGCCGAGTCGAGCTCCTCCTGGGAGAAGTCAACGTCCGGGCCGCCGCGCTCCCGCTGCCGGCGGTGGATGAAGGCGGCCTTGAAGGCGGTCTCGTTGGCGTCGGAGCCGGCCATGGCGGTGAAGACGTTGTTGAGCCCCCGCGGCGCCACCTTGAGGATGCCCGACTTGAGGATGTCGGCCCAGTCGTGGGAGGGGAAGTTGCCGAGCGCGGGGCGGTTGATGATTGCGTTGACCATGTCGGGCGTCGAGGCGGCCTTGGCCAGGGCGGGATTGTTGTAGCCGACGGGGATGGAGGCGATCTGGGCGTATCTGGGAGCTGTCTGTTAGCACATGCTTTGCTGTTTTGAGGAGGGGGGTTGATTGTGAAATAGAGGGATCACTCACACATCGAGCAGATAGTTGCCGTCCGGATCGGCAATGTAGTTGCCCACGCTCTTGGGGTAGTCGGCCATCATGTTGACGGCGCGCGTGTCAAAGACCTCGCTCAGCTCGGCAATCTTCTTGGCGCTCTGCGCGCCGGGGATCTTAGTCTTGAGCACGGGGGCGTCGGGCTCGCCCTGGAAGAAGGCCTTGGACGAGGCCATCCTGGCGGTGGCGGCGAGGCTTAAGCGCGGCGTGGTGTTGAGGGACGAGCGGAGGAGGGACGTTGTTGGTCTTGGTCTTGTTGTTGTTGTTGCTGTCCGGAGGGCAGGGCGCAGGGCCTGGGCGGCGCGGAGGGAGGACATGTTGGGCGGCTGCGGGTTGAGTTTTCTCTTTTATGTGGCGGTTTTTCGGTGAGTGTAGGATTCGAACTTTTGTTTGTTCTCGTTCGGTGGTCACACTCTTGGTGGTAGTACTACCGCCGAAAGAGGAGATGGGATTTGTCGTCGTGGGACGCAAAGGAGTGAGACACGACGGAGTGGCACAGAATGCTTCTTCCCCCGCTTCGGTCCACGTGAGAAAGGCAATTGGGTCCAAAGCCTTGTCTCGGCTCGTCTCGTCGTCTTCTGAATTGCTTTCCTTGATGCAAGTTGTGCTTCCTCAAGAGTGTTGTTCTCCCCTTTCAGTAGAAGAGCACCCGTAGACGTCACAACGTCACGCAACGTCACAGCAATCGGAGGGGGGGCAAAGCAAAGTCAAGGAATAGGTTCACGATGTTTCGCCAAGGAGGTTGTGCGGCGGCCCCCTCGCGCCCTTTATATCATTGATCCAATTGGGGCCCTCCGGGTACCGGCAACTGCAATCAACTGTTATGTAATTGTACGTACGATAGTAGTCCTGTGCCCAAGGTAGAGAATGCTTCCCAGTTTCCCAGTCCAATTACAAGTGATACGCCATCTCGTTTCCCTTGTTTGGTTGTTGCCATCCATCTTTTCCCCGCATCGGTGCGTCCCACAGATACGATGCCGCCCCTCCTCTAGCGATTTGGAGCAGGGAGTCGGGGGGTTGGAATCTGGGCGCTTATTGGTTGTTGAGATGGATCTGGTTCTACTTGTACGTACTGGATCCGTTTCGGCTCTTGGTGGTTTTAGCTGGATGACGCTCTCCTTGGCCGAGTCCGGTAGGGGATCTATTGGGTTTGAACGTTCCTGTGATCCATGGAGATGGTATTACTATCAAGTCTCGGTCCTTCCGATATCCTCCTCTTCGATAATGCCATTCGTACAAGTCGTATCATCCAAGCCGTCCCTTGCATTATCAACATCAACATCCACATCAACATCCCGATCTCGGCCTTCTTCCCCATCGTCAGATCCAATCGCATAGCTTCCACCTGACCATCTCGCATGCAATCCATCTTACGTTTTACGTACGTACTTTTGAAAACTGGATTCTCGTCGGGTAATTTTGTATCCTCTCTTCTTTGCTTGGAATGTTGTCAAAAGGGCGCCGCCATTGACAGGTCTGGTGGCTTCACGTGGGAGTGCAACGCCATGTTGCTTTGTTTGGCTACCACGTGGGGGCTTTCTATTAGGTACCTTGTTAGCAATCTTCTAGCAAATCGGAGGTTAAACGAGCCAAGATAAGGCAATAAAGTGTAAGAAGACGGATGGTACCAGCGGTATGTACAAGTATGTTTCTGGTCTGGTGATGCCATGCATGCATTGCTCTAGTATCAAAGGGGCTCTCCCGGGACTCATCTATTGGATGTTACAAGACTGGAGTTATCGGTGCATCTCCCGTGCTCTACGTCACCCGAGGCTCCATCCGGTTCCGGCTCCGGCTTGCACCGGCCCGGGCCTGCATACGACAGCCAACGCCAACAGCCATACATGCATCCAAACCTGTTGCCGACAGATGGACAAACAATTGCTTAATTCATGCTATTAAAGCTATTAACTTGTACCCAGAATGAGAATCAAAGTCAGTCTTCTCGATTCCACCACTCAAAAAATAAAAGAAAACAAGAACCTTGGATTCAAGTCCTCAATGAATCCTCTGCTCATGTGCACCTAAGCACATGTGAATGCAATATACCGCCGAACCGGCAGCGCAAGTCAGCGCGCCTGCTTGTGAAAAGGAAGAACAAGAGACCGTTTAATGGTGGACCAACTGGTATCCAAGCCATCACGCAAGTTCAAGCCAGATGCGCCATGACCTATGCAATAAAAATGAAACCCCCATGACGCTCGACGAGTCCTACTCTCGCCCCTCCCAATGCACAGATCCATCTTCTATACTGGTACAATCTCCCAACAAGTGCGCCCACAATCTGCTCTTAGTGGCCGCTCTGCTTCTCTTCAAGTTCTCGTGTATACTTCACAAAGGTCTTTTTGTGAATCTAAAGCGCACATCTGATTAGCACCCTACTGCCTGGAGATGATGAAGGTGGACGAAGGCTACTCACCATGCCAGCATATTTGCCGTCTCTCAGGACGCAAATGTACCGCAGACCCAGCTTGACAAAACATTCCCACGCCAGGTCCAACGGCGACCGAATATCCAATGCAACAGGAGCCTGTATGGCGGTAACGGTTAGCATCCACGGAACCTTTTCATCTCGCATCATCCGAGAATACGTACCGGATCGATGTATTGGGTAAAGTCTGTGGGGTCCGGCTGACTGCCATCGTCGTCATCAATGCTAGGGATTTGATCCATCAAGCAGAGGTTCGAGCCCTCGTCGGGAAGCTGGTCCAGCGCAAACTGAAGGTCCGGGGCAGGGATGAGTCCCACAAGGACATCGTCTCGCAGGATCGGCAGGCCGCCGTCGAGCTCCCCATGGCGGTGCAGGATCTCGAGCTTGGTGCGAAGGCTCGAAGCGGGAACCATGGGCGAGTTCGTGATATCAATGATCCGCTCCCTTCGCAAGCGACGGACCAGCTCCGTTAGATCTCCTGTAAAGATGGGCTTGTGTTTGTTGTCCAAGAAAGGATAGGCATTCATGTTCGTAAGGAGGTCCTGTGTGACATCGAGTTAGCCCACGTTGCTCGCCGTTGCTTGCCCCGGCTTCACTTACATAGATGCTCAACGGCTCAATGGCATCGGCCGTCCATTTGGCCACGAGGATGGACAGAGAGAATGGCAGTACATAGTCCAGGCTGCCCGTGAGCTCAAACAGGATGACGGCCAGCGTCACAGACAGCCGCGTGACACCGCACATGGTTGCGCCGGCAGCAATCAAGCCATAGACGCCGGGCTGGATACACGTTCCGTCGGAAGCAGTTGCGCAACCGCCCCAGATCTCCCAGTCGGGTGTAACGAGCACCAACCACTGCGCCAGGTGGCCCACGATCCGTCCCATCAAGCCGCCGACGACCATGGATGGGATATAGATACCGGCGGGAACTTTCTGTTGAGCAGATTAGCATGTTGCTTTCATGAGGCAGCCGAAGAGGGAGAGATGTATATGTGTGAGACATACGATCCCAAAGGCAATCACGGTCAAGAAGCCCTTTATCAAAAAGGCAAGGATCAATGTCCGTAGAATCTCGGGGATGTCGTCCACCGACCTCGGGCAAAGGCCCAGTCCATCGCCCTTGGTGCGGTCACACGGCGACGCCAGGTTGAGGAGCAGCTTCGCAACGGAAACCTTGGTCAGAGGGTTCCAGTAGCTCAAGAGGCCGGTCACAGAGGCGACGAGGAACACCTCCAGCATAGGATATGTCTTGATGGCCTTGATTCGGCGAAAGCTCTGTGCCCAGTACTTGGATGCCTTGATGAAAAGAGCCCCCATGGCGCCGCCGAGGATGCCGACAAAGATGAAGGAACTCAGCTCAAAGTACTCCCAGTCGACCAGATATCGAACCTCGAACATGACAACCTTGTGCGTGCCGTATGGGTTCAAAAACTTAAGCGACAGCGCGGCGACGATGCAGGCGAAGAACGTGCGAAACAGCGTCTTGGCTGGGAAGAAGTAGGACACCTCCTCCAGCCCAAACAATACGCCGCCCAAAGGCGCTCCAAAGGCAACAGCCACGCCGGCCGCGGCGGCAGCAGAGAGCACCTCTCGTCTCTTGGCATCGTTGCGGTCGTACTTTGAAAAGAGACGGCACGCAATGTTGCCCACGCAGGTCGCCATGTGGACGAACGGGCCCTCCTTGCCAATGCTCAGTCCCGAAGAGACGCTCAGAATCAGCGAGAGCATCTTGAAAATCAACGTCCTCAGACCCAGGAATCCGTGGAGGACGAACCCGCTGAGGATGACTCGCACTTCGGCGACGCCACTGCCTGCTGCCGAGTAGTAGACCATTGGCGGGTTTTCCGGCTTCCTCTCGACCACCTGTCGGGGACTGGCACTGTCATCGCCGGCGCCTTCCTCGGCCGCCTGAGGAGCCTCGGCAGCAAGATTTTCGTCCAACGTGGTCAGGCGGTACGCCGAGGGAACCACCGTCTTGGTCCAGAGGGCGACCCAGCACGAGGCGAGGGCGAAGCCGATGACGCAGACGACGTAGATGAGGAAGTCAGTCCACTTCTCGCCGAAGGGGTGGTAATGCAATGCCTGGGACCATGTCTTCCAGTCGGTGCACTCGGTGCGTCCACCAGGACAGCATCTCTGGAGCACCATGTTAGTATCAGCCTGGACACTACTATCCCTCCGTCGTCCTGAAGCATGCAGCTGCACCCACCTTTTCGTCAAAATACCACGCTCTTGCGCAATAGCCGTCCTTGAAGTCGAACACAACGGACTCGGCTACGTCGACGGTGTATGCTATCAAGGCAATGACAAAGCCGCAGAGGGCACTGAGAATCCAGCCCTGGCCGCCATCGATGATGGTCAGGATCCGGCCACCAAAGTCCTTCCTGCTGCGAAGCGCCCTGGCGCGATAGGAATCGGCAATTGTATCGTGCACCCAGTCGGTGCTTGTGAACTGATCGTACCACACCCGCTCGTCTGGGAAGATGGAGCCCTTGGACTCTGACATGGACCGTTCGGAGAAGGCATTGGCGAGGCGCTGGCCCCAGGAGGAGCGGCGGCTGTGATGCCGAGTGCCTCTGCTGCTGTCTACGAACCACGGGTCTTGTTAGCCGATCTGATGGCGGCACATGGCGGCATGTACACGGGATATATCTGGGGACGCAAAGCAGCAGGAAAGGGGTGTATTTGTGTAACAATTTTGCCATCGGTTGCTTGTTCCATACCCGAATAGCTCTGTTCGCGAGACAGGTTGCCACGCCGCGGCGAGGCAGCTCCGCTGTGAATTCGAACGTGGGATCGGGAGGTGCTGAGCAGCAGTGGGGAGCGCTCGTCTGGCTCATTTGCCGAGTGTTGGCGACGCATGGGATGCGGACGGCGAGACAGACGGGGAGACGCTGGCTGAGACGCCGACCCGTAGCCGTCTCGATCCGCCATGGCGGTGGGTGGTTGCGGCGGAGGGCAGAGTCGATGAAGCGGAGAGGAAGGAAACGGAGACAACGACGACGGCGATGGGATAGATGATGATGGTCTTCGGTGTTATAACGGTATCATGGATGCGGTAAAGCCTCGATGGGGGCGTGGGCTATCAAGGTACGGTACGAGTCGATGCTATCGGCAACAGGTGGTGCGGCGGTTAGCAGCAGTGGTACAGGTACAAGCACGAGCGCACCGCAGCAATGACACCTCCAGCAGGCACCACAGGGTGCTGAGGTTGGTCATCAGGTGCTGGCCCGGCGATGGAGATGGTGTACCAGCTACTGGGTACGGAGCACTTTACCTGGTTGCCTGGGGGTCTGCGGTGCGGCCTTGGCAAGGGGGTGGAGGGAAGAGAGGAGAAGAGAGGAGAAGGAGAGGCGCAGATAGCGAAGCCGACGCGAGGACGGTATTGGGCACCGCAGAGGGTGCTCTGGAGCTCGCTGGAGAAACCGCCAGAAGAAGCACGCAAGAGTGATGATGCGATGGAGAGGATAACGGAGCAAGAAGGGAAAAGAAGCGTCCAGACGTTCAACTCACAAGCCGGCAAGGCTGACCGTGCAAGTAGGTACGAGTACATTCTTGTAGGTCATCAATCTGCACGTCCCGGGGCGTGCGTCGCCTACCTTAGGTATCCTGCAATTTGGCCTAGTCCCAGCCAGGAGCTACGGCTAGCTTGCCTGGAGCCTCCACTGTCTGACCAGCGACAGGCGCTGCCAATTGGCCCAGCCGAGCTGCGCAGGTCCCCTACGGCGGCGCTCGTGGGGAGGCTGATGGGCACCTTTACCCGTTTGCCGCAAACAGCGCCGTCAGGTGAACTGATTCTCCGGGCCTTTGTCTCGACGGTCGAGGCTTGGGCAGCCATGGGCCCCGACTTGCCCGAGAGACGCCGTGCCGTTTGGGGTTCGATGTGCATTTGGCGGAATAGGCATCGATCGCATCAGACAAGAGGCGTTGAATAGGTACAACAAGAAATGGCGCGAGCCAGGAACGGAGCATTTGCTGCGTGTACTCCAGTAAGGTAGAACGCTGCTATCAGGCATGCAGATCGAGGTGCCGCACCGTTATCAACGCTCTTTTTTAAGGTCGCAGCATCTCGATGGCGTTTTTTGATGGAGAAGTAGGGCGACTTGTGACTCGGCAGAAGCATCGACGACTGCGTCATTGTCTGGTCTGGAATCTGTATTACTCGTTCATGTGAGTGGGCCTTGGCATTTCATCATCCGACATGCATTGCTGGCGAGCAGCCTTGCAGCCGCGGTGCAGCAACAAGTACCGGTACGATCCAGAGTAGTAGTCGCTTCATGCTAGAGCTGTAGCTGTACCTACATTTACCCCGGACCAGAAGATACAGTTGCCCGGATATTCGGTGATGGATGCCTTCGATGCGGAGGAACTCCATGCGAGGGATGGCAGCTTGAGGCGTCGAGGTCAGCGACGCGAGATCAAGAGACCAGCCTAGTGCCTGTCACAAGAGAACGCCACGGGCGCAGTTAAGCATAGAGGCGGCAGACCAGTGACCGTTGTGTGGGGGGTGTGAGGTTGGTGCTGGATGGCTTAGGTAAGCAGGCGCGATAACATAACTTGTACGGAGGAAGCTTTGAAAATAATGTCCTCGCGTCGCTTACTAATAGGCCCAAATAGTAAGCGACGCGAGGACATTACTTTTGAAAGCTTCCTCCGTATCTAGTCTACGGGACAGGCAGAGAAGAAGCGCTTCGTGGTACGACAGGAGGAAATGCAGGAGACATGCGACAAAGTATTACACATTCAGTTCCGTCGCAATTGTCATTCCCAGAAAAACAAATAGCCATCAGCGTTCTGTACCATATCCTCCCAATCGGCTCGAATAGACTTACACGCTCAATGGCGATGGCGGGCTAGCAGAGCTGTGGCGGGTGCACGTATTTCCGGCGGAAACAAAGCAAACATTTAGCGCCAGGGACTTCCAGGTCTTATCTTATCAGCCAGGAAAATTTCATGAGCCGTTCAAAAAGTTGCAGCGGCCGTAGTATAGAGGCATAGCCCATCCACCACCACCAGCATATCAATCGAGGCTCCTACGGTTCCTGCAACGCAAACACGTGAATTGAGGCGCCCGACTTCCCCAGGTTCAAAAGTACACAAACCATCATCATGGCCAAGAAGAGAAAGGCGTCCCGCGCTGCCGAGTCCGGCGGACCCAAAGAGCTGGACCCGGCAGACGCTCGCCTCAAAGTCACCTCCTACGAGGACGTGGCCAACTCAGAAGACGAGTTCTTCATGAACCGGGACACAATCATGCTCGACGACGAGCCCAACATGAAGCGTCGGAGAAAGGGCGAGGAGGAGATTGAGTTCTCGGATGAGGAAGTGCTAGGCTACGAAGAGTCAGATTCCGGCGCAAAGCCCAAGCAGAGCAAGTCAAAACGAAAGACGGCCGACTTTTCAGAAGATGAAGAAGACAAAGCCGATGGAGAAGAGGGCGACGAAAATTGGTGGGGTGCGTCCAAGAAGGAATACTACAACGCCGACAACATCGAGACCGAGGCCGATGCGCTAGAGGAAGAAACCGAGGCGAAGCGATTACAACAAAAGAAGCTGTCCAAGATGGCCGAGGAAGACTTCATCTTTGACGGAGACGAGTGGCTCACGGGCGAGCAGGAAGCGGAGGAAAGCGCGGAACCTGTGACAGAAGTCCTCAAGGAGGTCGAGATCACCGACGACATGGGCCCCGAGGAGCGATTAAAGTTGTTGTCTGCCCGGTACCCCGAATTCGACTATTTGGTCAAGGACTTCCAGGAGCTCCAGCCCCAACTAGAGGTTTTCAGGACAGAGGCCAAGGCTTCAGACGTCAAGTCTCTGGCCGCGATCAAATACTGGGTCCTTGGCTGCTACGTTGCCTCGCTGGCTAGCTACTTGGCTATACTTACGTCCCCGGCTCGTGATGCTGCCAAAGCGCACAAGACAATTGATCCCACCGAGCTCCGTGAGCACGATGTGATGGAGACCTTGATCCAGTGCCGTGAGGCGTGGGAGCGGGTCAGGGACATGAAATCAATAAGTGCACCTAGCGACGCTTCGCTGTTGCAAGGCCTTGATGCTATTGCTCAGCTGGAGACGGAAGCATTGGCCGCACAGACCAAGGCGAAGAAGGCCAAGAAGGCCAAGGAGGCCGCGGCCTCTGCAGCAAGCAAGGCCAAGAAGCTGGCAAAGGCCAAGGCGATTGAGGAGACCGTTGCCGATCTTTACGACCTGCCCATCAACACAAAGTCCAAGGCAAAGAGCAAGAGCAAGGCGGTACCCTCTCAGGATGACGACAGCTCAGACTTTGGCGAGGAGGAAACCCTGGACGCTCGAGCTGCGGCTGACAAGGCGGCTCGCAAGAAGAGCTTGAAGTTCTACACATCCCAGATTGTGCAAAAGGCCAACCGCCGTGCCGGTGCTGGTCGCGACGCAGGTGGTGACATGGACATCCCTCACCGCGAGCGCCTCCGAGACCGTCAAGCTCGACTCCTGGCTGAGGCTGAGAAGCGCGGCAAGAGGGATTCCAAGCTTGGCGCGAACCTGGGCGACGACAGCGACGAGGAAGACTCCAAGGCTGCCAACGCAATCCGCGACGACGAGGACGAATACTACGACATGGTGGCGCACGGTGCCAAGGCCAAGAAGGAAGACAAGGCGGCCCGATACGCAGCCTATGCGGCCGCCAGCAAGGCCGACAGAGTGGTGCCGACCGAGGAGATTGGCGAGGACGGCAAGCGCAAGATCACGTATGCCATCCAGAAGAACAAGGGTCTGGCGCCCAAGAGAAGCAAGGACGTTCGAAACCCGAGAGTCAAGAGGAGAAAGCAGTTCGAGGCCAAGCAGAAGAAGCTGAAGAGCATAAAGCCGGTCTGGCAGGGCGGCGAGCCCAAGGGAGGCTACCAGGGCGAGACGAGCGGTATCAATGCCACCGTCATCAAGAGTATCAAGCTGTAGAATTCTTTTTGCGATTAATATATGCACGCCTCATGGTTTATTGGACTCAACTTAGGGCTTGCATTTTGTAAGTGATGTTGATGTGCTCCAGGTCATTCTTGGCTATTGTTGCCTTGTCTCGTTTCACAGTAAGTACCTTAGCTTACTTCTCACGATGCCTTTGTGTCATTGACATGTGTGTATTCCTTCACTGTGGCCATGGTTAAGGTAAGGTATCCCATGTTACCTTATTCAGGGTAAGGAGACGGCTCAAGGGTAGAAGCTCATCCAAGCTATCATTTCTGCCCCACTCAAATCAACAGGCATTAATCTGGCTACCTTTCAACCTCACATCTTCATCTCCAAGCTGCGAAAACAGCCCTAGCCATACAACTGGTCCAGTTGCGTTGCCCAAGCTTCCAATGCCGCCGATATCATAACGTCTGAATCTCTCGTCCTCGCAGCCAAGCCGCTACAGCGCCCGCAATGGCTGCCATCGATGCCAGCAAGTTCACCACCTCGGACCAAATCTTCTCCGCGAACCATACCCTCCCCCAGATCCGCTCCATCCACAAGGCCCTCCATGTCGAGATCGAGGACAAGGCGAGCCGCCTGCGGACGCGCGTAGGCGGGTCATACCGCGACCTGCTGGGCACGGCCGACACCATTGTCCAGATGCACGAAGACAACGATGCGGTGCAGGAGCTTCTGCGCAGCATGGGCTGGCGGTGCGGCAGAGCGGTGGTGTCGACGAAGGTGGCTGCGCTGGCCAACTTTGTGGAAAAGGAGCGGAAAGCAGACGTTGCCGAAGCAGCGAGACAGAGGCTGCTGGATGGATGCCTGCTGGTTGTTGGGAGGCTGCTGAGGGGTCGTGGAGAGCTGGACGAGAGCTTCAGTACAGGCGACAGATTGGTGGTGGCGGCCAAGGTGTTGGTCTTGAGCCGTCTGCTGGTCAATAGTCTGGGGAAAGAAGCGCTCAAGGACGACGCGCGACAAGCTGTTGATGCGGCCCGGAAGAAGCTCGACAGCTTACGCCGCCGGCTCCGGAGAACGCTGGAGAAGGCTTTGGAGAAGATTGCTGCCGATTCAAACAGGGACGACGTGCTGAAGGCTCTCGCTGCCCATAGCCTTGCAAACAGCTCTGGGGCCAAGGACACGCTGCGGCACTTTTTCGAAGTGAGATTCAAAGCCGTCGCGGTCACCCTGGACTCTGAGGAGGATGAACGGGTGGGAAGCGCAGACGATGTCATCCGAAGCCTTGAGCTCTATGCCCGGACTCTCCTGGACGTACAGGCCTTGGTGCCGAACAAGCTCTCGCAGGCGCTCCATGCTCTGACTAAGAAGCCTCTGCTGGAGGATGCCTCGCTACGGAAGCTGGAGGGACTGCGGCTTGACATATTCGAAAGATGGTGTGGCGAAGACATTCAGTATTTTACGCCCTTTATCCGCCACGACGACCTGAGTGGGACACAGGCAAAGGAGATGTTTGATAGCTGGGTTGAAAAGGGGCAGGAGGTGCTGCTCCGCGGTTTGAAGAAGATATTGGAGCCAATGCATGATTTCAAGTCGATAACGGAACTGCGGACGAACCTTCTTCAGCTATGGATACGGCAGGGCAGCAAAGTCCGGGGAATCGATCCGGAGGAGATGCAAAATCACTTGAGGCACGCCATCAACACGCAACTGCTTGCCGTTCTCGAGTCCAAGGTCACCAAGCTTCATATTGTGGGCTCCGAAGTCAAGGCTACGCTGGAAAGTTGGAAGGATGGCGTGACTGGGAAGCTGCCGGGGTTGTGGGATGAAGAAGGGTACGAAGATGCTCTGTCTAGCGGAGCTCGCCCATTCCTGCAAGAAGTCGCATCACGCTTCTACGGCCGCAGCGATGCCGTGTCTAAAGCTCTCAACTGCTACTACTCGTGGTTTCACATCATTGACGACGTTAAGGAGGTAGTCGGGCAGTTGGAGAAGCAGCGGTGGGATAACGACTTTGACGAAATCGAAGATGAAGAGACCCTCGAGGCGAGGCAGCAGCTGCTGAGCAAGGACGATCCGAAGATGCTGCAGCAAAAACTTGACACCAGTCTCGATGCGTCCTTTGAAGCCCTTGAAAAGGAGATGCAGCAGTTGTGGCATGGCAAATCCGAGACTGGCAGCCGCAGTGCCATCGCCATGTATCTGATCCGAGTCTTGAGAGACATCCGTCGCCAACTGCCGCAGCGCGAATCCGTCAAGGATTTTGGTCTGAGTATGGTCCCGGCGCTTCACCAAGCGGTTGTGGTCTCGGTATCAGAGTTGCCGGTTGATGAGTTCGTGTCGGGTGGCCTATCCGGGAGGATAGTCGTCGGCAGACCGCTGTGGGATGGGGACCCAGCGTTGCCCAATCAGCCAGCACCAGAGACGTTTCAGTTCCTGCACAGCTTGTTGCTCTCTTTGTCTGATGCGGGAGTTGATCTATGGACCGCAGCTGCGATGACCGCTCTGAAGCAGCACGTTAGCCGGCGATTGTGTGAGGCATGGAATCAAGAACTTCAGAGCATAAAGTTTGCTGAGGAGGTGAAGGAAGTGAAAGAAGATGCCGAGGAGGTCAAAGAGCAGAAAACCGAGATGGAGACTGAAGCAAATGATGCAGAGGGCCCTGGTGAGAAACAAAACGAACCACAAGGCGATGCTGAGAAAGAGCCGGCCCTGAAGTCAGATGGCCAAGGAAGTGACGGAGAAGGAAACGCAGAGGCAGGAGACAATGGAAAAGCCAGGGAGGGTGAGAAAAAGGACGCTGGAAAGGAAGAGGATGGCACAGCGCCAAGCAACGAGCAGCTGCGGGATCTCTGCATCCAGTGGCTATTCGACATTTCCCTCCTCCGCCTTTCCGTCGGGACTGAGGCGGGAGAGACGGCAGACGAGTTCCAAAACCTGGAAGATGCAGTGTATGGGCACAGCGGCCTCGATGAATCCTCACGGCAACACGTCGGTAAGGCGGCAAAGAACTTCTGGAGCCGGACGAGTCTGCTGTTTGGTCTACTGGCATGAGACGCCATTTTCCCCTCTCAAAGTCCATCTATGGGCACGAATTTGATATACACAGAACAAGCAAGCTTATCAATATTTTCTTCACATTTACAGCTTGTGCCTCTTCTCGCCGCTCGCAACCTTTCTAAACTCTTCCTGCGGGACACCGGTCTCAAACCTCGCCAGCCCAGCAAACACTTCGTTAAAGTTGCTCATGTTGACGACGTTCTGCTCCGGCCCCCTAATGAGCTTCTTGATGCCCAACAAGCTATCGCCAACCAGATGCTCCCCCAGCCTCTCATCCACCTCCTTCAACACCAACCCCTTGAACTTGTCGTCCTCCCCCTGTCCCACCTCCTCAAAGACGCGATTCACAAACCCACACCTCTCCAGCTCCGCACTCGTGATCCTCTTGCTCATAATCAGCGCCTCGTTCGCCCTCGCGAGCCCCAGCCGCGTGACCAGCGCCCGCGACGAGCCCCCCTCCGCGACGAGCCCCAGCGAGGAGAAGGGCGTGAGGAGGAAGGTGTGGGGCGCCGCGTAGACGAAGTCCGCGTGGGCGACGAGCGCGGCGGTGAGGCCGACGACGGGGCCGTTGAGGCCGACGACGAGGATCTTTGGGTGGGAGGCGAAGGCCTCGGTGATGTTGAGGTTGAAGGCGACGAAGGACTGGAGCCATAGCTTGCGGGCTTCGTGGGGGTCGTCTGGGGTGGTTCTGCCGATGGAGACGTCTGCGCCGCTGTTTTTGGGTGTTAGTCTTGATGATTGTTGGTTTTCACTCCCGGTACCCCTCGGACAATTGTATCATCATGATCATCATCCTGGGGGGAAAGCATGGAGACCATAGAAAGAAGCCTTATGAGTAGGAATGGAGATGATAGACACAATAAGTACGAAGTCGACTCACGCAGAAAAGTAGCGCCCCTTGCCGAGAATCACCGTGACAAAGACCTCGTCATGCTTGGCGACCTCCCTCAAGGCCTGCGAAAGCTCGTAGTACTGCGCCTGGGTGAGGGCGTTGAGCTTCTTCTCGTTGGCAATGGTGACGACGGCGACGCGGCCGCGGTAGTCGATGGAGATGACGCTGGACGACATGGCCGATAGATTGTATGAGGGATTGTATGTATGGGATTTGGTGGCGGATATGATGTTATGAAAAGAAAGAAAAAGCAAGGGGGGGAATTTATATGCGCTTGCTTGTCTGATATATATATGAAGTTGTACGTTTGATATGAATGAATGAATGAATGACTTGAGGTGAGAGGTGAGGTGAGATTTGTGTCTGACCCCGGTTGCCCAGATACCGAGGTTTGGCGGCTAATAAGGGTCCTTTTCTTTGCGGGGGCAGCGGTTCCGCGGGTTTGGATTTCCGTTGGACTGAAGCTTATCAACCTCGATCTTTCTTCCATCCTTGTCAGACTGAGTAAAAGACCAATGTAAGATGTATGATGAAAGAGCGGTAAAAGAGAGGCCGTTTGTAGGGAAAGCAAATGCTGAGCGATATATTTTGAAAAGAAGAAATGCCTCTATACACTGACAAAAGCTGAATGATCAAAGGTACTACATACTCCGTAAAAATGTGCATCGCCCTTTGCAATGCCCGCCCCGGGTTGAAAGAAAGCATCATGGCTCTTTTCCCACGCGCCCCCATCTCACCAATATTCTCATTACATTTTGCCCCCCCCTCTACTCACAAATCCATATACACTTCTTCTCCCCCTCCTCATCGGCGCGCCCTGATCTGTCGCTGTTTCGGGAAATCCAGCGGCAGCGCGAGCTTCGCCACGTGCAGGATGCGGTCCTCCGTCTTGTCCTTGACGGGCTTGACCCTCGCGCCAATCTCGTGGAAGTACTGATTCATCATGCGCTGGTCTATCCGCAGGTCGTCCCGCAGGGCCTGCGTGTCCACCTCGAAGTTGTCGACGATGCAGGCGAGCGCGCAGCAGTGCGCGATGAGCAGGTCGATGTGGAACTTGCGCAGCTGGCCGGCGTCGGAGAACTTGCGCCGGATGTTCTCGATGACGGCCTCGGGCGCGGGGGCGAGCAGCTCGCGGAGCTTGTCGCGCGGGGGGACCTGCCGCGTGCCCCTTTGGCGACCGGGCTTGGAGTAGAGGTAGAAGAGCAGGACGATGGAGAGGTATCGCAGCACGCGCAGGCGCATCTCGGCGGACTCGTTCGAGGCAATGGCCTGCACGCGCGAGACGACGTACCGGGAGCGGAACTGGATGCTCTCGCCGTGCTTGGCCTTCTCCTGCCACTCGCGGATGGGGACGAGATTGAGGATGTCGGCTCCGATGAGCTCCTCGGGGCGGTACACGTCGTAGATTTCGTCGGCGTCGAGGTTGGCCTTGGGCACCGGCTTGGCCTCGTCGATGACTGCCTGCAGCTCTTCTCGGGAGGCCATTGTGGATGTGACGGCGCCGATTGAGCTGAGCGTCGCCTTGGAGGCGTCGTCCAGCTGGACCGGTCTGCCGTCGGCCGTCTTTCTCTGTGGGGTGATTGCGTTGAGCACCTTGTCCTGGATCGCCTTCTTGGCCTTTTTCGTTCCGAACGTCTGGCCAAGATCTGTTCTCTGGTCGAGCATGGTCTTTTTTTCTGTTAGCATTTTCCCATCCCGTCTGTCGAGGTGGCATCGAGGGGCCGAAGCCTACCTTCTTCTCCTGCTGCTGAGATGCAGAAGTCGGGACCTGCTTGGAACGAACGGTGCCGCGCACAACCATCTTCTTCGCCTCGACGACTTCCATCTTTCCAGTCTTGGGATCATAGATGCCGATGAAGTGGTTCAACAGTGGCTTCGAGTCGCGCCCCTCTTCTTCTCGTGCTGTGTAGTCTAGGTTTCGGTGGGTAGTAGAGTGAAGGAGAAGCCTCTTGTCGGCGTTCTTCTTCGATTTTGATGACGCAGTCTTGGGGAGATATGAGTTGAACACTAGATCTGAGGGCATCTCCATCCCGGGAGTGCTGACTGTAATGCGCCGTCAGTAGGGGCGCGAATGGTGTCAGATTTTCAGCCGAGATGCTGCATACCAACTACAGGAGGGCAGGATTTGGGCCGAAGGACGGAGGAGACGGTGGCAGTCGAAGCCGGTGCGTCAATGGCGACCTTCTTCTTCGACGAAGGGTTCTTCTCGCCATCTCGCTTCCGCTTCTTGGTGCTGAGGTCCGACATGGTTTCTGCCTATTTGCCAGCCGGTCTGGATCTCTTCTCTGTTTTGGGGCCCTGAAATTGATGCTAAAGTGGGATATCTCTGCTCCAAAAATTTTTGGTTATCGGGCGGCAGGAAATCAGCAGCCGGTGTTTCTCCGAGCGGGCGGTGAGAGCGCGAGACAAGACCCCACATGGCCGGTTCGCAGCGATTTACGTCACGACAGCAGCAGGGGAGCAGAGCTGCAGGAGCTCCATCGGTAAATGCAAGCTCGCCCACAAACGGGTGGAAAATATATCAATCAGGTCACACGAGCATCATAAGGATGCCAGCTCAGAGGAGCTTGAGTACTCGTAGTGTATCTTCGATATTCACGGTAAAGACAGGACGTCACGTAGGAGCTCAATAGTAAGTTGGAAATGAAGTAGATTCTGCATTTGTAGCTTGTCAAGCAGCGTATCTCGATCCTCCGCGTGCCTCATGTTGCAGCTGTTCCTCCATGGCTTTGCATCCTTAAACGATGTCTTTGCCCGACTGAAATTGTCCAGTTCCCATCTCTCGCGTTCGTCCAAACTCCCATAGCTGAATTGGCAGGGCGCACCGGTATGCTGATTCCAATTGAATGGTCGCGATCGTCACGGGAGATACCCGTGGTGGTGCAGCAGCTAAGCTTGTCGTATCATCGTGAACTCATTGAAAATGTGAGGGATGCGTCAAGTCAGGTAGAAGAGCGAGTCGTTTATTTGCTAAGGTCGGGTTAGCACCGAGCTTCCAGCAGCGGCAAAAGCACATTGGACGACACTTACGAGCGAGCCCTCATCTTTCTTCTCTTGCGCTTAAGGCGACGAACGCGCTTCTTCCTCCATTTGGCTCTCATCTTGAACGATGCGTCTGGAAGCTAGTTAGCGGGGTGATTCGCGCGACAGCATGGCGGCGAGAACGGCAACTCGCAGCATAGAGCGCATTGGATTGATTCCAATGCACTCCGTGGCTGCGAAATGCCAGGCAATGCGCCGTAGGGCGGGAGCTCTTACTTGTTCTTTGACGAGAAACGTTGTTGGGATGAGGTACAAGAAAGGAACTTTCGAGAGAGCGGGGGAATTTCAAGCACTTTGACAAGGCTGCTGTAGGGCACAAACCCCCCGCGCATCACGTGGTCGGGTGAGGGGCCCGAGCTTGCTCCAATCGACTTAGGTAAGCTACTATGATACAGTACGATTAGCACTCAATACTGTAATCGCACTGTAGCTCTCAAGGTGAAAGAGCAAAGAAGTAAGAAAAGAAGGCAGGAGCGAGATGAACATTGTGAGTTGGTCCTGCCCGCAAGTTTTCAGGGTAGCAACACCGCTGAGGGAAGACCAAGGAAGCCAATCTCGTGAAGTTTCAGAAATTTCTTCCGCTTCCAAGGTGCACGCGTGAAGTCTTTTTGGTCCCTTGACCAGCTGTTTATCCCATATTTGAACGCTGTACTCCGTACTTCCTCCTCGCCTTGACTCTCCTCATCGCCTTTGACCCTCACCTTCGCCTTGACTGCCACCAATCGGATGCTCACCATGGAGGCTGCACCAGCCAACGCAGATCAGCACTGCGATGATGACTATGAACTGCCGGCCGCATATCTCCGCTTCATTGACAAGCGCATCAGTGACCAGCCTATCGAAGATCTTCCCATCTAGGAGCAGGAAATCTTCAAGATTGGACGGGACCCAGTAGCCAAGTAATATGCGAGCGAACCAGCTTTGGATCTCTGGATGCCATTACTGACTGCTGATCTGCAGCGCCCTCTGTCTTCAGAATGATTCGGAGAACTTTGCTTCACGAAACCACTGTGAAGTCTACGTGATTGTCTATGAACCGTCCGTCAACCACGTCTACGTCAGAGATCGCAAGTCCGTCAATGGAACGTTTGTCAACGGCCAGCTCATTGGCAGCGGCCCGCAGATAACCCCTGGATATCTCTTGGAAGACGGCGATGTCATTGAGATTCAACCTCATTGGAAGTTCCTCTTCCGCCAACCTCGAAAGCCACCCACTCGGCCGCTGACCGCCATCCAGACAGCAGAATGCCAGGTTTGTCTTCCTCACGATAATCATCAGGGTGCGCTTCATCTGACAAGCATAGTTCTTCAAAAATGAGTATCTCATAACGCCACGATGCCTCGGCAGCGGTGCAGAGGGAGCTGTCTACTTGGCCATCGAATCCAAGACCAAGCGGCAGCTGGTCTGCAAGCTCGTCAACCTGGGCAAGCAGGATGGCACGATGCCACGAGAAGATTCTTATCGAAAGCTTCAGGAAATTGACGTCCTTCGACAGCTCAAACATGTGAGTGTGTTTTGTACAATCGACGGCCGCACGATGCTAACTCTCTCCAGCCCAACATCCTGCCCTACATTGACGCCGTCGTTTCCCCACATACTCTGTGAGTAGAGACCTCGTGATTGACTGATTTGGCAACCATACGGTACTAACGATGCTTCAGGTACATTTTCACAGAGCTTGCCGCTGGTGGTGATCTTGTTTCCTTCATCAATCGTCACGAGTTTATCCAGGAGATTGACTGCAGAGTTCTTCTTCGACAGGTTGTGCGCGGTCTCGCTTATCTTCACAGAAAAGGCATCATCCACAGAGACTTGAAACCGGAAAACATCCTGCTGGCATACTCACCCAAGATAGCTTATCATCGAATCATGCTGTCCGATTTTGGGGCTTGCGCTGTTCCTCGTCGAAGCCGAATGATGACTGATATTGGCACCTTTGAGTACAAGGCTCCGTAAGTCGTCCATACTTGAGTTATCAGAAATTGTTGAACTAATGCGTACACTATCTCAGTGAGGTCTTCTTTTCGGCCGCGGAAGCCCAAACAACGGCGCTTGATATGTGGTCCCTTGGCCTCGTCACCCTAAGAATGCTGACCTTTGATGTGGAGTGCTTTGGAAGCCTGACTCGCATGGACCAGAAATCCCTTGAGCAGATGGTCAACACAATGATTGAAGACATATCGCCAAAGCGCTCCTCCAACAGCCAACGGTTTGTCTTGGCATGCCTCCAACTGGCCCCAATGAACAGGATCACTGCTGCCGAAGCAGAGTGTCACGATTGGTTCTGCACCCCGCAGAAACATTTCGAATTCTTTCAGCAGCTCGATCAACGGTGTCAAACCGAGCTGACCGATGATGATACTCACCTCAAGCCGATGCCCTGGGATTTGGCCAGTCTTCAGCCCCTTTCGCCTGCTCCAACACCTGCCAAAGCTTCTGCTACTACTTCTGGTGGTAGCGGCCTCAGGCTTATGCGTTGGGCCTCTCCATCCTGCGTCGAGACATCGGGACACTTGGGGGGTGCTCAGGAGAGCGGCCAAGCGGCCAAGTCTGGACCGCTGCCAGGATTGTCGTCCCCTCAAGGATCTGGTCCGCTAACCCCCAAACTTCAACTGACAAAGGAGATCCCAGATACCACCCAGAATGCGAAGCAGAGCCTGGTTACGCCGCAGCGTGATGGTGATGCTGGAAATCGCAGACCAGAGGTCCGGATCCTGACATCTCGTCAGCTACGAATCTGTGATGTGCTTCAGCTTCCTCTTCCTGATCTCAATAGGCACTTGAAGCAAGCACGCAACGAGCATCGCAGAGAAGAAGTGCTGGCAGAACTCAAGCGGCTGAATGCCAAGTTTCTGACTGATACTATGCAGGCTATCGTGGAAAGTGAAGACGCTGGAGCTGAGGGACGCCGAGGCTAACCGGATACAAGTTGACAATTTCCCCAATGGATGTGAACCTTGCGGGTTGTGAGTTATATGTATGAGTTGTAACGTTTTGCGAGGGATGGTTTCGGATATCGGTTCTCTCAAAGTCACAGGACATCACAGGGAGTATGGCTGAGGCTTGATGATTTTGAGGCAAGGTACGGCACCTTGGTGCTCTCGTATCTGATGGATAACAAGGGATATACCAGGGAAACATTATGACGGATGGTCACCTGAGGTTGGGAGAGTTCTGTCTTTTGTCACGGATAAGTTTCAAAGCTGATGGAAGGGCTTGGCAAGACCAGATCCGCTTCCACACGTTCGAATCACGCTTGTATATAAACGCTATTTGCGAAGACTACAAAAAGCTCTCCTCTTTAAAAGACGGAACAAGTGACGCTTCCCATAAGCAATCGGACAAGGGCATATGTGTGTCATGAGGTGGATCAAGTCGTCGAGCTCACAATCAAACTTCACCCGTCAGTCACTCGACTTCATCATCCCTCGCGGCGCAAAGCCCCTTGATTCAACCCACAGCATACGACTCCCTATCAACTCGAGCTTGACCCCCTTTCGCCGTCTTTCCCACATCTCGACTGCCTCCGCCGCCGAATCCACATCCTGACCCCGGTCCGGCACTCCATCCCACCAGTCCCACAAACCACTCTCCTCCTCCTCCTCCTTCTTCACCCCTCCCTCACCCTTCTCTCCATCATCGTCATCATCATCATCGTCATCAACATCCTCCTCCACCTCATGCTCGACGATACACCGCTCCCCATCCCTAACACACCTCCTACACCCCCTCCGCGCAACGTCCCGCCCCTCCCCCCTCGTCGTCTCCATGCTCATCGAGCACGGCAGGCCCTTTGCGAGGCACTGCAGGCAGTCCCCCCAGCCGGAAGGCTTCTGCGTCGTCCGGGCTTGGAAGCGCGGCGGCTGGATCCGGTCCCGGACGGGATAGCCCTCCACGTAGCGGGGGAGGGCCATGCGTATGCGGGCTTGGTTGGCGTTCCATAGCGAGTTTACTTTTCTGCTCAGTATGGAAAAGGAGTCGTCGTCGTCGTCGTCGGCGGCGGCGGCGTTGGATGGAGGGAGTTTGACGGAGGAGGAGGAGGAGGAGGAGGAGGAGGAAGAAGATGATGATGAAGAAGAAGAGAGGAATTGTGGTTCTGGTTCGTGCAGGAGAAAGAGGTCTGCGAGGCCGAGGACCGCGTCGTCTACTTGTGCCCTTGAGAGCTGGTTCCTCATGTACCGCCCCATGTGCCAGTCCCTCAGCCTCCTTTTGTGAAGTTGTGCGATTCTGGTCCTTGTTGAAACATCTGTTTCTTCTTCTCCTCCGTCTTCTCCACCTTTGCCTTGTCCAATTCCTTCTTCTTTCTCAATCTTACTACGTAGCTGCGCGGGTCTGTTGAAGACGCCCTCTTCTTCTTTTTCTTCTTCTTCTTTGGGATGACATGCTTGGGATAGTACCAGTGGGAATTGGCTTCCCGGAAGGGAGGAGAGCGAGGGGGCTTGGTGTCGGTGCCGGCGGCGGTTGGCAGCGGCGTTGCTTATGGCGAGGAGGAGGAGGGTTGTTGGTTGATAGTCGTTGTCGTCCTCGTCATTGCGTGGCATTGTGGAGAGAGAGGAGAAAGGGAGAGAGAAGAGAGGGAGGGAGAAGAGAGAGAGAGAAGAGAGAGAGAGAGAGAGAGATCTTTTTGTCTTAAGCTTGGGAGGAAGGGGTGTTTTACGTGAAAGGGTGATTTTGCTGTTTCGAGTGAGGACCAGGGAAATTTCAGATCGTTAGGAAAGGACGACCGTTCGTGCTCCTTGGGGATATTTTCTCTATTTCAAAAAGATCAGATGAACCAGATGAAAGACAGAGTGACTCGGTCGTTTCAGCCCGCAAACCGTCTCTCGCGGTGACTCCCATCAAAGGTGAATCAGTTCCGGCACAGCACATGCAAACGTCGGCGTCCCATTCACGAGCAGTTCGCGAAACCCAGTTCAAACGAGGCAACACATACAAACACAGTCACTCCAGACATGAACAAGGCACGACGGCTTCCTAATCAGCAGCAATGGCATTGGTACCATGAACTAGGTTACGCGCTGAGACGCAACCGTCTAAACTCATACCAATTCACGTACAAGAACCAGTCCTAGCCCATGCCCGATCCCACCGCTGCCCATCACCACCAAATAGTGGTCAAATGAAAGCAGAAAAAGGGTTGCACTTCCCGTCCGGACCCTTATGCCCTTACCCGTAACCCCCCAGAAAAAACATCAATTAGATCCCCGATCCAGAAAGAGGAAATAGAATGAGATAAGAGCTAAAGGTCGATGTAGGTAACTGGACCGTATGATGAAAAGAGACGAGCATAGAGAGTGACAGAGAGTGGAAACCACCATCTTCACCCCTTGCTCAGCCTGGTGTCTCCGCTGGCTAGCAGCTGCTGCTATCCACTGCTTGTGAATAAACTATAATCGTAGACGAAATGAAGTATCATCAGCCATGCTCCGGCTGGAGAAGTAAAAGCGAGTAAAGCAAACGCCTGGCCATGGATCCCCAAACCCTTCAAACATGAAAATATGGAAAATATCAACCCCAAACGCCCGCTTCCATTACCTGAGCGGGGATTCTGTTCTGGTGCCTGTTTGTCCTGCTTTCCCCAAACGCCTTCGAATAGAGAATAACCAAAAAAAGAAAAAGAAAAAAAAGGAAATAAAGAGGTCTGCTGGACCTCGGGCAATAGTACTGGGATCGTCCAAATCAATGTCCAGCCGTGAGGCTTCCAGTGTTATGTAAGGGGTTTCCTTTTGTTTATCGTATCGTAACTGATGAGTGCTGCAATTGTTGTTTGAGACCGAGTTCTCCTTCAGTGGGGCTGAGCTCACGACGACGTCTGCGAGAGGGGACTGCGAGGCGTGACGTCGCCGCTTCGTCGACGGGTTAGTGGCTGCGTCTTGCTGTTCGCCTCGGCAATCATGTGCTGCTTCTTGCGGACCATGGATAGTCGGCCAGTAATCATGGAAATCACTTGGGTCACGTTAGCCATTGCTCCGAAAGGGAAATCGGGTGATGAAGACTTACTCTTCCGAATATGAGCTTCCTCGTCGCTCTCAAGGTCGCTGCAGCTCTCCCTGGTCCTCGAAAGGCCTGCGTCGTCGCCGCTGTCCAACACGGCCTCGAGCATGCGAATAGCGGTGATGTATGAAATCTCACAGCCCTGCAGGTTCTCATTCGTCACCTCGTCAATGGCCGCAGCACGACTCATCTCGAGGGCCCGATCGTACATGAGCTTTTCCGCCGTGATTCCAGGTGTGAGATATACCTGGTCCATTCCCGCTCCTGCGGCGGACAGGTTCGACTCCATGCCTTGGTTTGACGGATGGCTCGGGTGGTCCTCTGGAAGCACCTTCTGGGCTTCAATGAGCTTGAGGCGTACAATCTCGGATTTCTCCAGGACCTCGTTGAAACGCTGCCGAACCCATTGGACCACCGCATTGATGCGCTGGACTATGGATTCCGAGACAACAGCCGAGAGGCCGGAGGAGACGTCTCCTCTGCTCTTCTTGGACCACCAGATGCTGGCAATGTCCATGGCCCGTGCCAGTAGGGAAAGCGACTTGACATAGAGGACCAAGGCCTCTTCAGAGAGGGCCACAACGGCCTCGGCTGTCAGGCCGTCGTCGTCCACAGACAGTTGGTCGGCCCCAACGCCGCCGAGCCCGTGGTCTGTGGATGGCGCCATGGGGACAAGCTGCTTATACTTGACCTCGGCGAATCCGTAGACACAGTCGCTTCGGGTGGCAAAGTCTTCAATGGCCTGCGCGGAGCGGGCGTCTTCGTCCTCCGACGCGATGCTCTTGCCGTCTCCAAGTAGGCCGGCCGAGGTCGGCGGCGTCGGATAGGCCGGGTACGGAAGGTAGGTTGGCGGAGATTGCCCCTTGGTGCGGATGGGCACCCTGACGCCAAAGAGACGGAGACTGGCATCTTGAATGGCCTTGGTGATGGCGCTCGAAGCCGATCCGGGGCTCGCAGACAGCGCCTTCTCGTACGATGAGCGGCGGTCTGGGGCGGCTCGGCCCTGCGCCACAAGCTGCGTCCGCGACGTGGGAGCGGCGACGGCTCCCGTCGTCGAGGTCGGGGCGCCCTGCTGCGAAAAGTGCCGAGCCAGCGGCTTCGACCTCAGTGACGTGGGACTCTGCGATGCCAGCTTCTCGTTCGCGGCCAGCTCATCTGCCAGCGCGTTGACCTCGACGTGCCTCCTCTCGACAACCACGTAGTCTCTCTCGAACATGACATCTTGGGCGGCCTTTTCCTCTTCCTCGGTGAGAGCCTTGCCGCTTGGCACTCGAGCCTTGCGCATGTCCTGGCTCAGAGACGAAGGTGGCGAGGTGTTTTGAAGAGATGTCTTGGACACTCGTGGATGATTGGGCATAGAGATGGCATGAGACACTGTTGGGCGCTGAATGCCCAGGCCAGCTCCAGCCTCCCGGGGTGAGTTTGGCCGCCGGTGATACTCGCCAGACGGCGGCCGATGTCGACCCTCGCTGGGGCTCTCTGTCAATGGCGATGACCGAGGCAGCACTTCCCGAGACGACCTGGTGGGCGGGGCTTCGAAGGTCCCGTTTCGCAGGGAGCCAACGCGCGGTGACGGGGCGGCAACTTCTCCTTGAGGGATTGTCTTCAGCTCGCGCTTAGCGGGCCTTGGGACGTCGTCCTCCACCAGACCTGGGATCTCGTTGACGACGATGGGGTGGGAAAAGAAGTCTTCAAACGGCAGCCTCTCCGTGGGGTTCCTTCTGAGCAGGCTTCTTACGAGGGATTTCATTTCGGGCGTAATGGGGATGTCTCTAGGGAACTTGATGACGTCTTCGGCAGCTTCTATCTTCCTCAGCAGTTCGACATGGTTTCTCGCGCGGAAGGGGGGCCTTCCAGAAATCATTTCATACAGGACAGTCCCGACGGACCACAGGTCGGCCTTGGCATCGTACCGCTCGTAACGGAGGATCTCCGGGGCCATGTACAAGGGTGAACCGCAGAGGGTGTCGGCGAGAGACGTCGCGGGCAGAACACGGGCGAATCCGAAATCAGCAAGCTTGAGCATCGGCAGGGAGGCGATGCCGGACATTGGTATCAACGAGTCCTGGCTGGCCTCCATGATGGGGAGGTTTCGCTGTTCCCTAAATGCCTGCGAGGGCAGCAGCAGCAGGTTCTGCGGCTTGACATCGCGGTGGACGTAGTTTTTGCTCCGTAGGAACTCCAGGGCACTCGCCAGCTGCTTGAGGAAATGCCGGATGACGACTTCGTGCAGGCCAGCGTCAGGGGTGCTGGGGTACTTGCGGGCCATGTCGTGGGTGGCGGGATGGGTAATGAGCTTGTCACGTTTCTTGATGAAGAGGGACAGGTCACCGAGCTCGCAGTATTCCATGACGAGGTTAATGTGCGTGGCGGATTCGAGACAGTCATGGAGGGCGACGATGTGCGGATGTCGAAGGGTCTTGAGAATCTGGATTTCGCCATATAGGTTTTCTTTCAGCTTCTTGTTCAGGCGATCTAGTTCGACGGATTTGATGGCCACGGCAGCTCGCGTGTCCTGGTGAATGCGAAGCATGGTTAGCGTACACTTTGCCACAAGAGGGAGAACAGTTGAGAGGAGGTTATTGAGGCGCGGCGACAAGCGCGGCATGGAGGGTGAGCCGCTAGAGGAAACGGTTGAAGAAGAGCAGCTTGACGCATCGCGAGGGTACACCGTTGACGGCGGCGGAGAGCAAACTGGTTGGTGAAACCACAGCGGCTAGGGAAAGGGTATCGCACCTTTTGCCAGCCCATATACACCTGGGCAAAGCTGCCTTTGCCAATCTCTTTGTCGATGACAAACTGGCCTACGTTCCGTCCACCCGACCGCCGGGAGCCGAGGGAGGAACTGTCCTGTCGGCTCGCCATGACTTCCTGTATAACGTTGTCGGTGGCAGGAAGAGGAGCGAGGTCGGTCACAGCCCGGGGGCTCACAAGGTTCGAGGGTGTTTGCCGTCGAGAGAGGTTGTCATGTACACTCGGATGAACGAAGCTTTGTACGGGCAGGTCGATTGGCGAAGAAGGAATAGAAGGGCGTGATGAGGCGAGACGCGACGAGACAGGGCTATATGACGAACGGGCTAAGGGAGATGAAACGAGATGGGAAGTCGGTGTAGCAGTAATCGAAGGCCCAGAAGGGAAAGTCGATGACTAGGTTGAGGCAGGCGGCAGGTATCCGATAGGGTGAAGATGATGTAGTATATACGATCGATGAGAGTTGCTGGGGGTCGATGGTGACAGACGTTAGCAACGAAGCAGACGCACGGCGTCGATAGGAGGGTTGAAGGAGGAAGACGGCGAAAGACGAGACAAGGAGGAAATGGGAAAAAAAGGAAAGAAAGAAGATGGAAGCAGCAAAACAAAGAAGAGTCAAAAGGCCAGGGGAGTGTCGGAGAGAGACCGCGAGCCGAGTCAGACGAGCGCCGGCGTGCAGGAGGATCCTGTGGTCGGGTTGGGGATCGGAAGGGATAGCTGCTGCAAGCTGGGGGTGACAAGGATGAGGGAGGGCGTGACTAACACTGTCGACTCGAGAAGAGAGGACGGCCTCGGTACTTGGTACGAGTACGGCACGAAGTCGTCGCAACCTTGTCGCTTCTCCAAAACCCAAGGAAGCCCAGCGCTTGTGAACTTGCAAGAAGCCTGTGCTCGAGGGTGGGAATCAGACGAGACGAGATGCACCTGGATGGATACCTTGACGGCGCGCTGTCGCCTAGCTGCAGCTGTAAGGTAAGGTAGCCACAGACTGCAGGACGACGATTCGAAAGATGACTCGGAGCGGCAGCGCAGGCAGAGCAGAGCGTTGCCCACCCTGATGGACGCCTGGGTTTGCGGGGCGTTTGCGTGGGAGGCTTTCAAGAGGCTGCAGCGCAGTGATGCAGATGGAGAACGAGGGCCGGGGTCCGTTATTGGCTCGAGAGCTACCTGGTGGTTTACCTATCGCCTCCTGCAGCAGAGGTACAAGGAGCGAGATAAGGCACGGCGGCCCCAGACTGAGACCGAGATAGCACGGTGTGTGTACCGACGCCACAGGGCCCGGCTAGACAAAGGCGGGCTGGACGGGGTTTGGGCCGTTGTCCTGAGGGGCGAAAAGCGCCAGACTTGACAGGACGGCTTCTGAGGACGCACAAGCTGTGATCGATCCGAGGATCCCAGATCGGGGGTGGTCAGATGATGAGACGGTAGGGCGGAGAAGACGACGAGGAGGAGTCGTCGAGAAGAAGCTTTGGAAGCGGCAAGAAGGCGGAAGGGCGGCGAAGAAAAAGACTAAGCAGAGTAAGATTATGAATAAAGCCGAAATAAGAAGAAAAGAAGGATAAGAAAGAAGAGAGAGGAGTGGACGGGAGGTCGGAGGGAGGTAGTAGAAGACTGGCGATGGCGAGAGGATGGAAGTGGATGGCGCAGCTGCAGTGGACTGTAGGCACGAAGTAGACGAGACGAGACGAGACAAAGAGAACTGCACTGGACCGGTGCTGGATGACCGCTGAAGGGGGCTCGTGATGTCGCTGTAGAGCGACCTGGGCGCCTCAGCCACAGCGGCGTGACAGCACAGGTACCGAGAACCTGCGACCTCTGGCAGCCACGCGCCAGAGCGCATCAGCGCAGGGAGCGATGCCGCAATCTGCCGCAGCCTGCTCGTACCGGTACCTCGGCGAAGCGATGCAACTGATAGCGCTGCACTTGACCTCAGCCCAATCGCGGCAGAGTGACGCTGGACAGCTGCGTTCTGGGCGCTAAGCCAGCGGGTCCCCCACGTCAAGCGACTTCCCGTCAACTGCCATGGTGTTCTCGCTGGCGAGTTCACGCTGATGGCGCTCGTACCTGTACCTGTACGTGTGAGCGGTGCTGGGCCGGAGGACGGAGCTTGTAGCGGGTACAAAGTACAGTGCAAGTACATCCCTAACAGGCTTCCCCGCGGAACGCACGCGTAATTGGAGCCCATGTCACATGGCCTGGTACCTGCAGGACACCCGGGTGGCACTTGGCCAGGGAGCGGTGATCGAGGCCAGAAGCGGTTACGAGTGATTGTGCTGAGCGGCGTTCGAGAAGAGGAATCATCATCATGATGTACTCCATACAAGCGCCAGTTTGCACTTATGAATGGCGTCGCCTTTCGAACATTGCTTGACGGGATGTTAGTACCGTTGAAGTTAGCATGTCAGTGTATCTGCCGCTTCTGCACGTACGGATACGCGGGAACTGCTCGCAAAAACGAAGAAGCCAATTGTCGTGGACTGGCCGCGCGATAAGGATCCCGTCAGTGCAGGCGAGAAGGGGGTGCTGCAGCGCATGCCTACCTTACGTACGAGGACTTTGCTCAGGCTCGATATCTGGGCCGGATGCTATTGATGGACATTGATGAAGGGGTCGGAGCGCCAAGTAAACGGAGTACTCCGGGCTGCTGACATCCCATGCGATGCGATAGTAGTCTATGCAGCGCGGCAAGACGAGACAAGGGCCATGAATCTGCACACCTTGAGATAAGAAGACGGAAGCACGATAGTACCACTACCACCAGCCAGCCAGCCAGCCAGGAGCGATAGCGGCCACCAGCATACATACAATAGTGACAGAAACGCGCTCATTGATCATTGCTCATTTGCTCATGGGCAAATTGGCGTCAGACCGACTCTCGCCGGATGCAAGGACAGCGTTCCCTCTGCCCCCTTTCCCTACCCTTTTCCGCCCTTATCGCGCCTTTCTGGGGTCCCGCAGTCTGCATCTCTCTCTCGCGTCCCGTCAGATTGCACTGTAGTACTTGTACACTCGACGCGCTGATCCCAGACTACGGAGCCCAAAGAACCTTGAACAATAAAGGCGCGCCTAGCTCAGGACTGGGCTGTCCGGGGTCGGCGGCGGGCAAGGGATCGGGCTGGCGTGCATTTGGCAGAGACTCGCATCATTGCGCTACGTCCAAGTCCCGTCCGGGACTTGCGGCCTGGCCTGGTGGCGTCGAGCATGACATGACATGACTGCCCAGACGGATTGTCAAGATTCCATGCTAGAAGCAACGGGTCGGGATTGCCTAGAGGGTCGAGGTCGAAGGCGAATCCAATGCTTTGTCAAACATTGACCGAGAATGGCGTGCTTACAGCTGCATCTGCGTCTGCTGCTACTACTACTACACATCCGTGCGAGTTGGTGCAGAGATTCTGGTTGAGCAGCGTATATCCGAGGTAACGAGGAGTGCTTGTTGCCGTGGTGAGGACAAGTATCAGGGACAAAAGGACACAAACCTACTCCGCGTGCAGAGCCCAACATGGAGACCAGCCCGTCTTTGATGCACCGGTTTGTCTGCTCTCGAAGACCAAGTGAACTACTGACGCCGTCAAACGAGTCCCCCGTACCGATGCACTCTTAACAGAAGCGACACACCTCCACGGAGAACGAACCGCCATCGAAGCTAGCACGGAGACTAATACTGTACGAGATTAGCATCATTCTGTCGCAGCAAGGACAAAGAATCGCCAAACCCGGGGAACCTTTGGCAACTCTGGCTGTCTGGATAATAGATGGAAGAAACTGATGAATGAATGAGATGCCCCGTCATGTTGATCAGCGTCGACGAACTGCAACCCCATCGCAACCAGAGCCCACCAGCCTAGCTTTTGCCGTTTCTTGAGAGTCCACTCGCGAGACATGAAGCTGGAGGGGGACCCTGAAACCTACTCTTTTCTTTCGCTGCTGTCATTCATGTCACGTAGGACTTATTTTAGGGCCCATTGGATTGACGTTTCGTGACCTGAACAAGCCTGTGAGAGAGTCACGACGACCAACATGGAGCTAGTAGTATGTACTAGACTACCTACCTTATAGACTAGTCGTAGTACATAGAGTAAAACCGATGTCTCGTGCCTTTACCAAGGGGAGGGCACTGCCTCCTTTCTGTTCTTCTAGAGCACGGCTGCCTCCAACATGAAATTTCCTTTTGCATCATGCAGCTGGAAGGACTTGAGGAGAAGCGCTACTCGTTGACTGTGCAGTATGTACTCGTACAGGCGGCAAGAGTGCATGCAAGGGCCGTTTCCGGCGGCTACTTCAAGGAGGCGGCGCCATGAAACGAAGCATCCATGACGGTGCAGCACCTGGGGTTCAAATCGCGATACCGAGTACGAGAGACGACTGGCCCAGTTGGGGCTTCAAGGTTCATTACGTACGTACTATCAAGCGCTTCGCAGGGGAAAGCACCTGAACGCTCCAGAGTCAACCGGCCACCGCCCGAAAAGCGGGCGATTCTGCCGGACGAATGTTTCCGATAAGGCCCGGGCTGGCCTCGATTAGGCTCACCGCACTCGTTGTTGCGTCTTGTGTACATCATTCATGCTTCACCTGCTCAACCTTGTCCATGGATCCAGCTTCTAGCCTGTGCTTCCCCGCATTGTCCTTGTTCCTTTTCCGTTCTGCGGAGTATTACTTGTACTGATTCTTTGTTTTGCCTTGGCTCTGGCTTTTGCTCTCTCTTTGGATGGATGATTCCCGTCGATTCAAAGCCAACCGTTTTGCTTGCTGGGGTGGATCGAAACACCAACGGCTGCCAGGCAATCTGAGACATACTGCAAGGGAACCCTGCCTGCCTATCGTCCAATCAAGCTGGCCAGCCTCACTTGTCATATCCACGATGCCATCGTCCGCTCTTTGTGAGACATGAGCCATCACTAAGTACTTGTATAAGTACTGCTCGTATGTGATCTGTCTCGCGGGAGAGGTGAAGAGCGCCCCGTCAAAGTCCAGCTACGAAATCTGATCAACTCCACCTCCCCCCCCGCTCTCTGTGAACAAACGCCGTGTGCTGTCCTTGTGCTTCATTCAACAGGTACTTTGATGCACCTCTCTTCGTCGAGGTGCGATGCGACTAGCTTGATTCGACTTCAGAAAGCGGCTACCCTGGTCCGTTCAAGCAAGACATGGCCCATCTCGTGGATGGCTGGCGTCCACAACTGAGGCCCGACTTGCAGTGCTGCTATTCACGGGATCTGAAGTAATTAATCGTCCAACAAACTCTCGACCAACAAAAGATTAATGCAGCTTGCCCTCGGTATCTAATAATACTACCTACCTAGTAGTACACCAAAGCCATGTACTTCAACACACAAAGGGCAGCGCCTCGAGTGCAAGATGACCTGAGCATCAATGGACGACGCAACTCCAGACACCCCAGCCGGCCAGGGGTCTGAGTATGTACCAGACTCCAGCAGCAAACAAGAACTCAATGCCCTTCGTTTCACGCCCAAAACGGCGGGTGTCACGAATACGGGGTGTTTTCTCTCTTGTACTTCGTACTTCGTACTTTGTACGCGAGGGGGACTCTGGTCGCACTCAGATGGGGTATTTTTAGCAGCGGCGGAACTTATTCCAGGCGCAGGAACCGTTGTTTGGTCTCATGGGCAATGTCCGGCATCATATGGCACCGAATCCTGGCCTTGTGCTTGATCCTGCCTTCTGTTGCTTGTCTCGGTCAACGCTGACGGCCTTTGACATCACCGGCACCAGGTCCCATGGCCAGTGATTGCATGCTGCGATGATGCGCAGAGCGGGAGAAGGACAAGGGCGACGAGAGAAGCTCTTCAGCAATGGCCAGCTTCCTCAACACTGAGTCTGATATCACATCTCCCTTCAGACCATATCACATCAAGCATTGCCTCAACACCTGACAACGTCTGTCAAGTGAGTGAACTCGCGCCTCCTCCCTGCTACTGCATCTCGCTGCCAACTTACAACGTGCTTGTCGTGATTTGAAGCGGCTCTAGGCGGCACTGGGGCTTCAGTGCAATTCGGTCTTGTGTCGCACATGCTGTGTCTGTGTCCCATGCGGCTGATTGACTGGCTTGACTTACACCGATGCGGCGCTCCCTGACAGAAGAGAGGGGGAGCCGATCGTCGTTGAGGAGCAGCTGAGCGCCAATTAGCCCAAATGGTTCAGAAATCAAAGACATGGGCCTGTTCCCTGTTTGACGGGCTGGCACGGAGCAAGTAGCCACGAAGCATGGAATAGCGACGAGGCTGTTCGGTTGACTTGACTTGACTTGACGATGCCTTCCGGAACGGCAAGATTCATGACAAGTCGGTCAACACAGCACAGCACAGCACAGCTCGCCCTGCATAAACCGCCGTCTCGATCGATGCACGGCTTCAGCTAGATGAGCCAGTCGGCGCACACCACGGAGCAACCCCCGGACAACCCTCTGCTCAGCATCCTATCACGAAAGACCACGTCCGAAAGGCATGTTTCCAGGCCATGTATCGTACATGTTCCGTGCTTGCCCATCGACGTCCGTGGCGAAACCCCAAAGGCCGCTACGCCGCCGCCGCAGCATGACGTCGATAGGAGAGCACAAGATCTGCATCCTCTGTGCTGCAACGGCAGTTTGTCAGGGTTGTTCCCCCTCACGTTGGGAATCCCATCGTGTTCCGCCCCCCTGGCATCTGGAAAACGAGTGGCCAGGACGATGATGGGCTATCTGGGCTTTGCCGCATTGGGAGTCATCTTTTGGTCTTTCGGATTCCCCTACCTTCAAATTCTCATGCAGGCCTTACAACCTAGTGGCATTCCGCACTATTCCAGTGTAAGTGTAAGTACAAATGCGATGCGACCACAACGTTGAGCCTCATCACCACCGCCTCTCAACAACCGCGCTGCATCTCCCTCCGCGGGCGAACAAAACCCTCGATGACAAGGCGTCAACGCGACAAAAGACGGCCACCTCGATCCAATAGGAACGCCGAATTGGAACATCAAC